CCACGCATATGGCAGAGCGAACATGGAGACCGCCTCCTCCGTCAATAGGGACAATGGAACATGGTGAAGAACTGTGTTGTGTGGTTTTCTCTCAGGAACTACTTTGTCTCCTGTCAGAACCCGTTTGTAAATTGGTATAACGATTTCGACTTACTTGGGCCCACTTACCCACGTGATATAAAATTTATTAGTCATCCGACTTGCTTGGCCTTAGGTGTTGTACACGGGCTCTGTACTGCGAATAGCATAAATTATACAGACTCAAATTGAAGGAGAGGATATCATACAGTCTGGTAGTTTTCAGTGACTTGATCTGATTTTCAATGACTGAAGTAGTCAAAACAAGTTGGTTTGCATTCATGATTGCTGAATATCTGAATATATTTTAATGGTCACTAAACTAGACTAACTACTCCGTTATGGTAGTAGGTTGCCCAACGTCAATGGTGAAATACGTTAATTATCAATCTTTTGCGCCATGCTCCTTAACATTGAAAAACCATGTTGTTTCCACTCACACCCTTTTCTCCACGTCCACTCCCCCCCACGGCTGTTTCCGCGCACCCGCTTAGGAGATCATTGCCCGCAGTTATGTTACGTTAGGGATGTCAGGTGACCCCGATGGAACTGTGCTCGTTCCTTAGTCCAAGTACTTTATAGACTATGTATTGGCGATTTGGGGCCTTTTTGCCGAGAAGTCTAATACTGTAGCAAGATAACGTTGTCGTGTGTCTTGAATTAGCTTAGCTAGGATGAGGTCTAAAACTTTTTGCATGGGGCGGGCATGTTGATTCGGGTAGCCGCAGTGCCCACTGATACATATAACTATATATTTAGATCTCGACGAGCTAAGCTAGTCCAGTACACACAATGTATTCCTCCATGCAGTCATGCGATTCTAGTACCTGCGATATGACCTAGTGCCGCACGATATCTTCAGGAAGAATAATCTGGAGATAGTTAAAAACTGGTTTCCTCTTGCTTGTTTAAGTCTCAACCGTACTATGAAACGGGAACACCTCTACAGATGCATTAAGCATTACATTCAAAACAAATTTTTGGCGGTGTCAAGCCCTATTCCAGTTGAAGTGTTTTTCACTAGACTCGGTGACGGCGAAGCATATTAATGAAGTCGTCAGGGTATCAATTGCACCCATTATATGACTTAAATATATGTTCATACCATATATGTTCCTATCCTGACACAGTTTCCTGTTTCGACCCGTCCGTGAGTATGAAAGATCCGATTACACAAACTACCTAGACGATGAGACGTCGTCTATCTCCGAATTCAAAAGGGGGTTTAGTGAGGACAGCTTAATAATACATGGCCAACTGGGTGTGTAGGGTGTGAAAGCAATGTTGACCACAACTGAAGACCAGATATCCGTGCTCGGGTAACTTTTTGTTCAGGAAGTTTTATGGTTCCTGGCTGAATCGTTTGCCTTCAGTCGGAACTGAATGAGTATATATGTCTGAAAGACGCCGATAACTCAAGTAGCGTTGTGATATCCACCGCCTCATCCTGCAGAATAAGCTCTTCAGATTTTCAGAAGGGATATTCAAGCAATCAACAGTTTTCAAGATCGATTGAAGCTCCTCATCAATCAGCATCTTTTCTGAGTTCCTTCGGAAGCTTCGTTCCTGCATCCTCAAATATTCAAATGTTATTGTTTACATTCCCATCAATCCTCTTTATTTTAGGATTTTCTTAATGGGGGTGTTTTTTCCAAGTCCTTGCCCATCTTGAAGCATGCTGGTGAATCTCGCAATTGCCTCATCTCAACTCCTGTGCATTGAGCAGAAGTACCTCGTGCTTTTACAGTTTGCAAAGAAAAACGAACGAACCAAGCCAGCGGCACCATCTGAAGCGTATGCAGAATTAACCCATTCATCTGGCTAGCTGCCAGATGACAAGAGGAAAGGCGCCGTCATACCACCAATAGGTTAAGGCGGAAATGTGGGAATAGAACTTCTCTAGTTCACATTTCGAGACAGAGCTCCGTAATACAGTTGGAATTGAATAGGGTCACGTTCGTGACGGTCATGGATGAACCAGCTGAGAATCATGGCAAGATGGACGTTTGGTTCTGACCGAATCTTAAAATGAAACCCGTTATTGACACTTCTATCAAAGAGGAATTTACCAAGGCATTTCCAACAAGCCCATTTGACAAAACAAAGAAAATCCAAGCACGTTCTGAATCAACATACATGCAAAAGAAGGTATGATTATCCTTCCCATCTGTGTGTTTCAAACAATGACAATGTAATAGCTACATAACATGCAACGGAATAGAAAATATCTAGAGTCCGCCTTTGATGCAAACAACCATATATGAAATCCCAATAAGATAAAGCACATGCACCATACATACTACACACAGTCAAACAATCTCTATTTCGACTCTACATGCCGATGTAAACTATACGCCTCAACGTGACCATCTCCATCTCCACCCTCATCCCCATCATCAAAGACATCAGAGTCATTATCCGTAAAATCATCGTGGTATCCCACAGGGTCAATGGCGACGTGGTCGTCATCAATGTCCACGCCCATATCGTAATTATTACCAGCAGCATTGTCGGCGAGGAAGCCAATGCGTGCTTCCTCGTCCTCACCAAGTTCTGCAGTGGCGATTTCATCCGGGTCGTCAGAGAAGACATGCGGCGGCTGGAGGTGAGGCAGATTGCTGGACTGGGATTGTCGGATGCTGTTGTTAGTTCTCTCTTCAGCTTCGAGCTGTTTAGAACGGGCGAGGGTACTTTTTGCGATGTGAAAATTTCAAAGTTAGTTTACTGTTTTAAAGAATAGAGTTTGGGGAGCATTTATTATGCAACAACGTAAAAAGCAATTAAAAAAAATAAAATAAAAATAAAAAAGAAGAAGAAGAAGAAGAAGAAGAAGAAGAAGAAGAAGAAGAGCAATTGGGTATATGGAATTAGATATATGACACTGGAGCTGCGGCTTTTACGTACTTCCTATATATGTACCATGCAGTGAAGATACCCACGGCCATGCTAGCCAAAATGCTAACAATATTGATTGCCTTTGAGCCTGCGCTCATCGTCTCACCGTTCTGCGCTAGGATGCGCAGTCTGCTGCCGATGAAGGTCGGGACTAGCAGCCTTGGGGATATGATTGCGGTAGCAAGGCCGTACATGAGGGGATGGACTGTGGGGAACGTGGAGATGGCCCCGTTACATATGGAATAGGGTAGCGGGCAAAGTCTTATCATACATAGAAGCTTCAGTCCATCGTATTTGAGGGTCAGAGCGAGAGCGGCAAAGCGTTTGTCGTGTTTCATTAATCGGTGGACAAAAGAGGAGAGGAGGGTTCGGGAGACGATGAATGAACATGTTGATCCGATTACAGTTCCGATTGAGAATATGAACCATCTGTGAATGAGGGGGTCAGTATCGTATTTCAAATAAAAGGGGGAAACCGTTTATCGTTCCAAAAGTTTGACATACCCTTTCCAAACACCAAAGATAAACCCTGCAACGGTCCCGACAGTCGACCAACCAACCAGCGGGGGGAAAGAGACTATAAATGTGCATATCCACACGGCGAAGTATGCAAGTTTAGAGCTCTCCCAGTCCTCCGCCACAGGCTCTAACCACTTAAATATCTGCCCTGTCAGAATCACGAAACCTACACCCAGTAAAATAAGCCCGATAGTGGCCAGCACAGTGCCAATTTTCTGCAGAAGAGTCATCTTCCCAAATCTACGAGAGACACGTTGGCAGAACTGTTTTATGTTGATTATCGATGAATCCCGCAGGGAGGCAGGGGGGACAGTAAAAATCGAAGACCTCCTCCTCCTGGAGGAGCCGGAGAGACTTGAGTGCGGCTGGGTCCATGGCGGGCGGAAGGATTCTAATGTGGGAGACAGGGATCCGTCTATATCTGTGATCGGAGGGGTAGAGAGAGCATTTTCAGTTGGAGAGCGGTCCGCAGACATCTCTCAGAGAGTTCGGCAATTGGGGGAGGATTCAGGTTCCGACTCATCCACGGATGTTTGGGGATATGTTTATTGTCGGATCATTCAGCTCGTATAATGATGTAATCGGAAGTTGACACAGCCATATAGTTATATCAGAAGGGCAGAGAGCGGTGTTTTAAAGTGTTACGGCGTTTCTTCAAGTAGTAGTTGGCAGCTGGAGACGGGGCTTTTCTGGTCGCAGGGCTGTGGAGAACCTGAGCAGGCAGAAGGATGCGGCGGCGGCGGCGTCTAGAAACGGGGGGAAGCGCGGTATAGTAGGCCAAACTATAAGTTAATGAGTAAACAGTGGAGATGGAACAGGACAATCTTTTTATTCTAAAAGATATTATTTAACTGGTTACAGATATAAAAAGAAGGTCAAATGCCTCTCTCACAACCTTTTATCCTCGTTTCGTATCCTGACAAATAAGCGATCCACGACTCATGGCTCGTCAGCATCAGCCTGGCTGTGCGCTGACGCTCGATTCTGGTAGCCTGCGTTTGATCGTCTTATTAATTTCAGGTTCTCCAAACTAAACAACTGCCCGCAGGGGCTGATTCGTCAGCCCATTCGCCGTTGGTTTATTCTTCTGCTGTATATATCATATTTTCATAAACATTTGATCGCATCATGGGGTTAAATAATTGCTCACTGTATAAGGTATGAAGGATGGATCATTCATCCTTAATTTTCTCAAACTCTGTGCTTATTTTAGTATTTGAACTCAAGGGATATATTTAATTACGTCTCCCGATTGTTCAGTTGCCGTGTGGAGGAAAACCGTGTGGAGGAAAACCTTGGGACGTGATACCCAACTTTTATGCGAGTGTTGCTCAAGAGATGGGGATCAGCACGTTCAATGAGCCTAAATATTTCATTCTATATTTATGGTTAATATCTGAATAGCAGTGAGAATTTGAGGACGAGTGGTTGCAACATTCGATATCCCCTTTCTTCAATGCTTGACATTCTCAATGATCCGTGTATATGTATTTGCTCCCCTCTTCTTGTTACAGTGAAGATTGTGAAGATGGGGTCCCAAGGTTGCCTTCTCCTAAAGCCACATCCCCAACTTTCTCCGCCACGATCTCCCATCCCCCCTCCAACTTCAACCTTCTTCCATCACTGTCTCGCCTCGTCACCGCCGTCCCCACCCATCGTGGTATACTGCTGTATATATAAGAGTTCATAGATGTACTTATCCCTTTCTTTTGCTTCTATAACTCTCCTTAATGCGCCGTTGTTTCCCGTTGGCTCTTTCACTGCAGTGAGCTGTGCCATGTAACCAGGCTGTCCTCCACGATTCCTCCGCTCAGCCACCATCTCAAATACTTTTTCGCATCCCCTCCGCGTCATCCTCGTCTGGTCATCCCATTTCTTGCTGAAACCATGAACCATCTGTACTCTTATTGACAGACTCTGTCACTTCCTCTGTGGTTGAGAAAACTCACTTACATCCTCTGCGCCGTGTCCTTAGCCAGTGCTACGTATCCCAAAACGAGGTGTTGTTACCCTCTACCCCCTTTCAGAAATAATGGTTCCAGAGGAGATATATGAGCTTTGTCTGCCAATCCTCGAAGACGAGTCCACAGAAGAGGAAGCGAAGGTCGAGAAGCTAGAGGAACTCCTACGCCAGAAGCCCTCTTTGCTAGGCAGCTCCCTCGAGAACGCGGTCTTGGATGTTCTGTGGCGTCATCGCACCTCGACTAAGCCTGACACCTCTCCTCCTTTCCGCCATACTGTCATCCGCCGTGCCTCGCCAGCTCCCTGGCAAATCCCGCGTGCAGCCACTCCCCTATCCCCTTCCTCCAATTCAGGAACAAGCCCTGCTCCCCCCCCCGGATTTCCTGTGCCGCGTGGAGGGTTCCCCCGTCCGCCCCGGTCGGTTACCGCATCCCCCTTTTCGTCTCCTCGCCCTTCACCGCGTCTTGCACTGGCCCAGCCTATTCCCCACAGTCCAAGTCTCAATTCCTATGAGTTTTCGGATAATACGCCTCCTCCTGAAATCTATGGAGATTACGGAAGTGACAATGTGGATTGGCTTGTGAACGACGATGCCGGGAGTGTGGCTTCGTCAACTGGGTTGAGCGGAGCTGCCCCAGAATGTGTTGCGCCACCAGATATGAGTCCATATGATATCCTCAGGTCCGTTCTCGGGGATGGTAGGACAAACGAAGAGATTGAGCAAGCTCTTGAAGCCAACGGATACGACCTGGGGGCCACAATTGCTTCGCTAACGGAACAAGAAAGCGCAAAGGCTACGACAGCCGGCAATGGCGCAAGGACCCTAGTAGGAAAATCGATGGCAGCGGACAAACTTCGCCCTGTCACACCTTCTGGTCAGACACGAAGCCCCGCGGTGTGCAAATACTGGTTGTCGACCGGACAGTGTCTTAGGGCTGACTGTCGATTTAGCCATGATTTAACTAGCCATGTTTGCAAGTAAGTGTTTTTATCTGAGGCGTTAAATAAGGTATCTGTAGCTAATGCGATAATAGATATTGGTTGTCTGGTAGCTGCCTTGCTGGTGAAGGCTGCCCATTTTCTCATGATCCATCTGCCTTGGTTGGCGCATTAACTATGAACGACCAGAATGGTGCTAATATGGGTGGGCTCGTTGATAATTCTCAACAAGCATACCAGTTACAGGATAACTATGAGGCTTTCCCCGCTCTCCAACCTTCGAATATAGAATCCTGGCTAAGTCCATATCAACGCAAGCACGCAGGCCAGTCCCATGGCACATCTTCCCCAAATTTCAGGAACAAGAACAGTGCCTTAGGTCAGGCATCGCGCCCGCACTCTCGACCAACAAGCCGACATCAGCATCGTGAAATAAATCCTGCCGCTCCGCCGGTCGATGATCCCGAGGCGTTTCCCACCTTGTCCGCCGTCAAGGGTGCCGGAAAGAAACACCATGGGAAACGCGGACATGGGAATCACCGGGACAATTCTGCACACAAGGAGAACAATCCTTCATCCTTGGCTGATGTCGTCCGCATGTCTCCCTCTCCAGGCCCCGTTAGTCGCAAAGGTACTCCAATATCTAATCGTACCTCTGCTGCAAGCCACGAAAATAGTGCCGCAGCCCAAGCAATCCCTGCCCCAAAACGTATCCCCTGGCTTGAACCGGGAAAACGTACCAATCAACAATATATCAAACACCGCTACGATGCCATTACTCATGGTAACGTGCGAAATAAATTCTTGCAGAGGTATGTTACTGTTTATTTTCTTGCCCTATCCACACGAACCCTGACAATAAAATGCTATCAGTGCCGCACAAGCTTGGAACCGAAACGACATGCGTGCAGCCAAAGTCTTGTCCCTCCGCGGACAGGCTGAGAATGAAGCCATGCGTCGTTCCCACCGTGAGGCAGCCCGTCACCTTTACGATGAGCGGAATAAACATATGGGTGGCAATGATGACGAGCTGTACGTTGACCTTCACGGCCTGCACCCTGGGGAAGCAATTGAATATCTAGAAAGTGTCCTGGTTGAGCATGCGAAGCTCGGTCGACGAGTCCTCTATACCATCACCGGTACCGGCCATCAAAGTAAAAATGGCAAAGACAAAGTTGGAAAGGCAGTCAAGGCATGGCTGAATGAATGGGGCTATGTTTTTCGGGAATTTAATGTCCCAGGTGAGCGTGGTGGGTATATTGGTGGTGTTCTTGGAATCGACCTGACGAGCTCTGACCGCAGTGTGCTTTCTGCCAAGTCTCATGGAGAGGGTCCGTCTGGGGATGGTAAAAGCCCGGCTGGCGATGAAGGTGCCGTGACTGCTGATAGTTCCGCCCCCCCGGTCCTTACTATGGGTAAGATTCAGCTGTTAAAGAGAGATGATGCTTCTAAGAAAGAAGAAGAGTGATCCGTTCCCCAACATTACTGCTGTCATCTGTCCTTAGCATTTCGCTTTTATTTTTGGCCGCATGCAATTCACCAGCCGTAACAAATATCATGACATGTCACTTACCATTGCGATATTAATTTTGGATCATCGAAGACGCTCTTGATGCTACAACTTCGGGAATGCTCATATGGCAAGATATTGAAGAGATCTCATGAGAAGAGGATTGGGCGGGGAGTGCGGCAAAGAGAAAGCCAACCGTAACCCATAGGATCTCCAGAGTGCATGATGTGTAGTGTGGTTGGGCCGCATAAATTTGCAACCTGAAGCAGTATTTCCAACAGTATCTGGTGTTCCCGGGTTGTTTGGCTGGGCTGCTTACCTGTGTAGGCTTGCCGTGGGATAAGGCTCTGGTCAAATATACATTGAATGTATCAAGAGACATGACTTCACATTGAATATGAGATAGTTTTTTCCCGGTTATTCCTGTTATTAGCTCTTATGAGTAATTTACCTAGAATCATGGTTAGTTTTAGTCAAAACTATCTCACCATCTATGTAATAAATAGTGATATTATCACTCAACAAAAATTTTATACGCTTCAGCTAAATAGCCAATGTGTCCCTCGTACAGTGGATGAACATGTTTCCCTAACTAACCATCGTATCATATACCCAGCCTCGAAATTCCTACTGCGGTTCCTCCCCTGCAAACCTCTCCCTCAACGTTGGCACATCAATCCCACAAAGCTCCGCCTTCCTCACAATTCCCTTCGCCCTCTCGACAACAGGTACATCAATCATCATGCCATCCAACGTCCATGCTCCCCTCCCACTCTCCGCTGCCTTCGAATCCGCCACGACAACCCTAACAGCCCACTCCACCTCCTTCTCCTCAGGGCTAAAAATCCGCTGCACCACTTCCAACTGCGATGGATGAATACACTGCTTTCCATTGAACCCCATCCGCTTGCCATTCAGCGCCTCTTCCTCCAGAACAGCAGGCGTCTTGAAGTCCGTGCACACTAGGTCGATTGTGAAGGGGAGATTGAAGGCGCGGGCGGCAGTGACGATTGCAGAGCGCGCGTAGAGGAATTCGGTCAGAGACGGGGTTTGGGTTATGCTTAGGTCTTTGGAGAAGTCTGCTGCGGCGAAGATGAGGCCGGATAGTTGGGTTGGGGTTGCGGAGCAGATTTGGGGGAGGTTGATGATTGATTTGGCGCTTTCAATTAGGGCGAGGATGGTTACGGGAGGGTTTTGGGAAGGGGTTGGGTTTGAGTGGGTTGGTTTGGCGGTGGAGCGGGTGTGGGATATTACGTCGGAAATGAAGTGGAGGTCGGAGGCTGAATCGACTTTGGGGACGACGAGGGTGGTTAGGTTTGGGGATTGAAGCTGGGCGTTGGGTTTGGTGAGTATCTAGTCATGCATTTCCCACACACACACACACACACCGGTTTTTGGGGGTGTGGGGAAGAAACCCGTGGAGGGGGGAGGGGTGATTGGTTAGCAGTGATGCGCTCTACGTACCACTTCAGTAAGGTCAGCTAGGGCAAGACCGCTGCTGACGGCATTTATGCGCACTGCGCGCTCCTTTATTCCGGAGGGTAAGGGATGGTTAATGGCATTGCGAACGAGGACACGGGCTTCCTCCTTCATCGTAGGAGTTACGCTGTCTTCGAGATCGTAGGCTACGCAGTCGGCAATCAGGGAGCGCGATTTATCCAGCATGCGCTGTGAGGATCCGGGAACTATGCACGAGGAGAAGAATACATCAGTCGCTGCTAAGAGGCATGGAATGGATTGAATTGAAGGACTGAGTATATATACCGTAGAGTAGAGCCCTGCACAAGAGGTTGCTTATGGCAGCAGCCATGGTGATGTAGTCCGATGATATCTTTCACAACCAAATGACAGTTCCTGAGAAAAGATCCAATTGCTGCCAAAGTCAAAATTATATTGATCTTTGGAGAATGTTAGAAGCACAGTGCTCCATTTTGCACCACAGAGCAAGGCATACATACGCAGATCGGAACCTACAAGTGCCTGTTGTCGTCGAGTTCGGCTTCTTCCCTCCGACTCCTCGGCTAACTTGCGTGCCGGATGCACGGACCAGCTCTCAGCAGCTACACCAAGATCCTGGCATTCAAATGTTCAAACCCCTTAACATCGTCCATTTAAAAACTTAAGATGAAGAAAGAAACTTGAAACTCAACTTTGGTTCGGGATCATGGATAGCAGAGATAAGCGATGAAATATGCCTCTGAATGAACTCTCTCAGAAGCACCAGATTGCTCTACTTTTGTGAAAATGACTACCAATCAGATGAAGTGCAAGTTAGAAGGCCAGTCCGGAATGCATTCAGGTTGTGAAACAAAAAAAAGTCATTGTTATTATACAGAGCTCTCTATTTTGCAAGAATTTCCCCGAGTGTCATTCTAAGGCCGAGGCAATTTCGAGCGCATTTTGAGCGATGTTCTGCCGCAGGTCACCGCTGGCGGCTAGTTAGTTCCAATCCGCGCTTAACACCAACGTTGCTTCATCCTTTAGAAAACAAACCATCCCGTTACAACAACGACCAAAATAGACACCGTTTAAATTGTGGTTTATTGGCATATAATTCCTTGGCCATGGACCAACGTGCCCCCGGAGAACTAAACTGGCGTCTCAGTGCGCATCCAGTCACTCTGTTATTCTTCCTTGGCTTTCGCATTGGTTGGTGTCTACCATGCACACCTCTTATCAAATCCTCCATTACTCCAATCTACAGAACTGAACTAATGTTTGCCAACTTTCTAATAAAATAGGGAGTTTATTAATGTATCTCTTCGGTCTTTTATTTATCAATAGCTTGTTCGTTCCCCTCCCAGCTTCTTCTTGCGTGCGAACGAGTGGTCCCATTCTCCGACATATATCATCCATGGACCCAAAGCTAAAAATTCCCTCCCTTAAAGTGTCCTCGTCTTTATCCTAACCCTTCTCCTCCTCTCCGCCGACTTCTACTACCTCAAAAACATTGCCGGCCGCCGCCTTGTCGGGCTCCGTTGGTGGAATGAAGTTAACACCGCGGACGGCAATTCCCACTGGGTATTCGAAAGCTCAGACCCAAATACACGAACTATTAATGCTACAGATAAACGTTTCTTCTGGCTCGGTCTGTACGCTACTCCTGCTCTATGGATTTCTCTAGCCATCATTGCCATTATACGGCTGCAGAGTGTCATTTGGCTGAGTTTAGTTGGTATGTCGTACTGACATTTGTTATTTAATTTCATTCTGATGTCATGTTTTGTATCTGCTGGTGATAGGCGAGGAACCGCTGACTTTCCCCCTTTTTTTTTTTCCCTTACCAGCGATTGCACTTATTCTTACGATCACGAATACTGTGGCGTTCTCACGATGTGACCGGTTCAGCCAGGCGTCGACCTTTGCAAGCAGTGCTTTGTCCGGCGGGATTGCGAGTAACTTTGCATCCGGGATGATAGGGAGGATTTTTCGATAGGAGAGTGAATAGGTATTGGTGACTTCATATGTTCCAACATTGATAGGATCGCATATGATTTTCCAACCATTCGCAGCAAATGCTAACTAAAAGAGCTCTGGGAGCCCGTTGACCCTGTTGACCCTGACTTGATTCAATAATGTATTTTCCATATATTCCCCTGGCGTGACTTCCTGATCATGTAATATTTTCCTGGGTAACGGGGAATTTCAGATCAATGGTTTTATTTATTTTTGGCGTTCGGCATTTTGAAGGGAGCCTGCATGCATTATCTTGTGTTTCTCTATTTACCATATTTCTTCCCTAGCAGTTGTTATATATATATACAACTTCTTTGATTGATTGATATTCACTATCTTGTTCCTACTAGGCTTCAACAGCATATTCAACTTACAGTTGAATTGACTCTGGCACCCCAAATTAAAAGGTTGGATCAAGTAGAAGGTTCGAATTCGCTCACTAATTCATCCTCAATCAAATCTTCGCCCCCTTTTTCGCGGCATGCTGCAAATCATTCAAATTCTTCATCTCCTGCCTAACCGCCAAATCACTCAGAATCTCCCGACTCCCACCCCCAACCACAAAAACTCTCACATCGCGACTAATCTGCTCAATCCTCGCCCCCTTCCCGCTCTTATTATATCCCGCCCCACCCATAACCTGCTGCGCCTCCCGACACACCTTCTCCAGACAGCGTGTGGTCATCACCTTCAATAGAGCAGTCATTCCTCCGACGTCGACACCCTGCTGGCCTGTCTTCGCGGCGACGTGGAGTGTGTACGCGAGTTGCTCAAGGTAGGCCTGGCAGGGTTCAATCAGCTCGCCGAATTTACTGAATTTGGCGCGAATGATTTGGTTCGCTATCAATGGTTGGCCGAAGGTTTCGCGCTTAATGGCGTAATTGTAGGCGTCTTCAGCACATACGCGGGACAGGCGAATGCAGGCGGCGGCCATGCTAAGTCGTTCAGGATTGAAGTCTTACAGATGGTTAGTTTGGATACTGAAATTTCGTAAACGTGGGTAAATGGGTAGGCCCGGAAAAGGGGGCGAGAGCGGATTAAATACTAATGTAACTAACTTACTCGACATGATATATGTGAAACCGTGATTTTCTGTACCAATGAGATTCTCCACCGGGACTTCCACGTCGTCGAACTCGATGAACGTCGAACCGCTGGCGTTGACGCCGGAATTCTCCATTCGTCTCCTTGTCACACCCTTCGCGGCCAATGGGACGATAAGGAGAGAGATGCCCTTGCGACCTGGTCCGCCTGTTCTGACAGCAGCTGTGCAATAATTTGCCCACAGGCCGTTGGTGATCCACTTTTTAGCCCCATTGACAATATACTTATTACCGGACCGTTTGGCGGTGGTCTTGATGTTGGCAACATCGGATCCCGCTGAAAAAGATATTAGTAAATTCCATGGATATTTCCAGGTTGAGTAAACCGCAACTTGCATACATACCATCAGGCTCAGTAATGCCTAGACAAAACCGTATCTCCCCACGAGAGACTTTGGGCATATACTCGAGTCTTTGCGCCTCGCTCCCGAAATTCATGATTGGGGGACATCCAATGCCATTTCCTCCGAAAAGACCCCAAATTACTCCCGAATAACCAAGTCTATTCCCATGACCATAGAGAAAAATGTTGTTCATTAGCCAGTTTATTCTTCATGTGGTCTGTAATAAAGATATGGAGCGAGTTGAAACAAGACTCAAGTGAATATAAAAAGACGAACCTGTTCAGCTCATCCACCACAATTAGGTTATGAAACTCGTCCCATTCCTCTGGCTCAATGCCTGCCGGCAAGGATACCCCACCCATATACTCCCTCTTTGTGGGCTTGATTATTGTAAAGCCCTTTTCAGCATGGAGCCTTAGCGCCTAAATGGATAGCAAGGGAGCAATCAGCATGTCAGTAAAATCATGCCCAGCACATGTAGATATGTACGGTTTATTACTGAATCTAACCTCCGGCGGCAAGAACCCTTGCTTCTCATACTCTTCGGCATAGGGCTTTAGGTTGTTATCAACGTAGTCACGGACATAAGCCTGCACTTTCTTATGCGACTCGCTATAGTACGGGGAGATCTGCCGGGAGTGCCAGAGGGGCTCTGCGTATGGTGCAGCTGATCCAAAGGGAGCGGATGCCATCGTACCGCACTCAGTCTTTTATGGATCAAAGGCGAAAAAGTTCGATAAATAGGATATGAAAAGGGATTGATTAATTAACTAAATTTTCCTAGCTGTCCAAGCGGACATCTAAGGGACATATTATTCTTTGGTTTAAATTCTTTTCATCAGGCAAGCATCAGCCTTAAATATGGGAAACAGGGAACATTATATCAATCGGCTGGATCTGGTCGAGGTAACATAGCCAAATCAAGAGAGTTCCCTGCGAATAGTTTACCTAGGCCGCTGGGTTGTTTGTTAAACCTTGCTTGTATGGCTAGAGTCCGGGTGGCCGAATTGCGGAGACACTCAGATGTGGATGAGTGTTTTAGGCCGAGATCCGATGGCAACATACCTTAAAACCGCCCCTGAGATTGCATCTGGATATGAATGAGGGGGACATTACAGCAAAATGCCCAATTACTTTGAATGAGGTTGGGTTGAACGGGTAGTATTGGATATACACAGAGATCTATGACGTATTATGTACAGTAGTTCTGATGCTCGTTATAGCTTCGACGGTACCCATTTCGGGAGTCTCTTCTCCTTGAATGCAAGCATTCCCTCCTTCGCATTCTCCCCAGCCATCAAGTCAGCTGCGTATGCCTCTCCTGTCAAAAATGTAGCATGTTCGACACTGCTTGTTTCCCATGCCTGTCGGATACCCGCCCTTGTGACTATGACACTGTCAGGGCTCATGCTAGCGATAAGTTTCGCAACATTCACCGCTTCCTTAACCAGGTCATCAATTGATACGATCTTTTGGACAAGTCCCCATGCTAGGCCTTCCTGCGCTGTCAGAGTATGCGCTGTCAAACCGAGCCACATTGCCTTTTGGAGACCAAACGTTCTACACAGCCGTGGAAAAGCACCGGCCATCGCGGCTGTCCCCCGTATAACATCTGGAAGTCTGAAATCTGCATTTTCCGACGCAATCACAATGTCACTGTTGAGAATGATTTCGAATCCTCCACCATGGGCATGTCCATTGCAGGCCGCTACGATTGGCTTTCTGCCATTTCGCCGAGTGAGGCCGGCAAACCCTGTTGAGGGATATGAATTTTGCCGTGAGGCGGAGATTGAGTCGGATGCTATCATTGATTGGCGCTCTACCAGATAGATATGCCGATAAGCTTGATATCTTCCGTTGCAAGGGGATTGAATGTATGTAATGTTTGGGGGGAAAAAAAGTCAACTATGGCAGAGTTTATGTACCTTTTAGATCCATTCCGGCTGAGAAAGCCTTCTTCCCGGCCCCAGTGATAATCCCCACGCGCCTACCGTAGAATAGAGAAAATTGAGAAGGACACTCAAAAATGATAAAATTCACGCATTGATATTCCAACTCACAGCTCGGGCTCATCGTCAAACCATTTCCAGACTCGATGCATTTCCCATACCGCATCGACCGGCAGAGAGTTCATCTGCTTCTCGAGGTTTATCGTGACAAGCAGGACATGAGGAGCAGGAAAATCGAGGAGAACAAACCTTACTGGAGGAGGAGGAGTAGTTGTAGACGGCGACATAGCTATTGAATGGGCAAAGGCTTTGTTCAAGTGGACGGAGGTTATGATCGCGGATTAGAGAACGTCTTCTGCTCGGGTTCGTGCAGTGAGGAATGCATTGGTTGGAGAACCGATATAATAGTTACTCACACCAACATCATTATCAAAGTCGGCCAGGCGTCCAGCCATCAGCCAGTTCGACGCATCGCCAGCTCCGTCGATGCTCGATACTACAGTGGTGCGGCAAGGTCCACAAGTTGCTTCCGAGTCGGCTACACCCACTACCTCGGCTTGGCTTACTTAAGACCCTGGGAATGGGAGTTACCAGGACCGCCTCAGGCGGCCACTTGACAGCGAGCCTAATAATGATAACTAATTTCTTGGTATCCAGGTGCAGGAGTCGTTGTTCTCCCGACATTGAGCTGTATTGTTGCATGGAATATATACGCATGCGTGGGCGACCCCTCACGGAATTTGGAACAAAAGGTCTCGCACACAACCAGCTTTTGCTTTTTGGGCCGTTAACTAACGATAACTAACTAACCAACCATATTCCAACTCTTGATCCCTGCTGAGTTTATGTTTTGACCTCAGGGCTAACTCTCTCTCAAGTCAATGCCATTATGTTTTGGAGCTGGGGAGTGCCCGTGGGGCGTTTCCTCGCACAAATTTGTAGATTCTCCAGATTCTCCAGTGACTAATCTGCATGCTGAGGCTGTTCCTAATTCTATCTATCTAAATGATGCAGCCAAATGCCTGCTGCTCTCGACCAGACCTTACCTTGGATCAGGGCACTTTTGCGGGGGGCGATTGAACAAATTAAGCGTATGTGCGAAAGTTGCTTTTGTATATGTTCTCAACATAGCTAGCACCTCTACATTATTAGACAGGGTGGGAACTTCACAAAAATCACAACAGGCATCATTGGTCTAGTGGTAGAATTCATCGTTGCCATCAACCTTCTGGGGATTTCGATGAGGCCCGTGTTCGATTCACGGATGATGCATAGCTTGTACTCTATTTTTAATTTCTGTTTTTCTCTCATATTTTCCCAGATTTTTTTTTTTTTTTTTTTTTTTTTTCACGACTTGAGAGAAAGAGTCAAATGAAGAGGGTCAGGGAGTAGATTCAAAATGCAAATGCGAAGGAGGCAATGGAACCGCAGAAAAGTCCGAAGCACAACAGGCTCAAGTGAAATTTTCAGCACTCGGATAGTTAACTAGTCAACTAAATAAACTGGACATCCGTGTCCGCTTCCCACCGCTTCGCCTTCATAATCATGTAGTTATTAGCTGTTGGGCCGTGTGGAATGATCAAAATGTTAGTTATTCAAGAATATCCAGGTTGCTTTCAATATTACCCGCAGCAATATGCGTTCCTTTCGTTCTTTTCTATCGCTTTTCAACGTTGGCTTTGCTCTCCCATGTACAAACAGATTTCTATAACTAACTATGCCTACCGTAGGTAACTGGTCAGTGGTATTCCTGTTCGAATTCACTCAAGAAGTCGAATTTCTCATTTCCCCACTGATGCCTAAGAAGAGGAATTCACCAATGAGGCTAGAAAAGTCCAACTTGCAAGTTAACTAGTGCTTCGACTTCTGCACAAAAGATCGAATCTGAATAAAATCTCAGATTGTGACTTGGAGTTCGATTGGCTTAAACCAGTTAATTTCGGGGTCCAAGCAGTCAACATGGATAAGAGGATTATAACTATGGAAAACACAATCTGCCATTTGCTTAACTGACATTTATTGCCTATGTTCTAGGGTATTGGGAGGTGTGCCATATTGCTTCATTTCGCCATCATTCAAAATAGCCTTCCCGTTACCTAACGGATTCGGTTGTGGCTCTTGATTGATATCTTAACTTTTGTACTATCATTGGATAGGTGCATGGCCAACTTTGTGGAGTTAGTTTTAATATTTCTCGCATCAGAACGAAGGATGAACCAAAATCCGCAGCATTTACAGGTTATGGATCAGGCTGGACTAACGGACGCAGCTTCCACGATGACGGGGACCAACACGACAGCGACAGCATGTATAATGTCCCTTTTGGAGAAAGGTGTTCATCTCAAACGGGGTGTTGCATGGTTTTGAGATCACCGCCATTTTTTATCTCAGAACGGAGCTGACCTATGAGGATGCCCCTGGTGTTAGGATATTGCCAGATGATCCCAATTACGAATATCACAGTAATTCTGATGATGAAATTTTGGAGTACGACTCCGGAGCAAGTGGAGAAGAAGATTACCGTGGTTCTGAACAGGATCCATCTGAAGGGGGACCTGCCAATGCCTGCGAATCTGAATGGACATTCAAATCACAGGCCCAGATGTGCAGGAATATGACGCGGAATTCGTGAACTTATCAACACCATTGGGTATGCGTTTGAGGATTAAATCGTATTCAAACGGGAAGAAAAATGTATACAACGAATCGAGAGGCGCAGGACAAAGCAGATTCTTACGAACATATTCATGGCCCTGATTGCAGGATGCCCAACGTATATCATGGGCAGTACATTGCAGTAGAAGAAATGAGAGACAGTCACACAGCCCAAATGCATCTATAGAAAACAGGAAGGATGGGAACCTCGAACAGATACCCTCGATTTTGAGCGTGAAGGTAGGTGCCATCTTACGGACATCGCCGCGTTTATGCCAAGTACGGGGACATTCATCTAGTTTGCCCCTGTTCGACATGACGTCAATGACAGCTCTCCTGAGTGCGATTTTATTCTTGAAGCTGTTAGCAATTCCTATGATGAATTTACTGTTTTTGCCCTTCGCCGTCTTCAGTTCCACAGTTATGACCTACCTTCCGGATGGCAGTCCCAAGAGGAACTCAACGAAATTGGACTCCCATTCCATCCCACCTGTTTTGAGCTATATATGCAAGCCTCACGACGAATTCTTGGTTGCGTTGACATAGACACTGTACTCGATATCAGGGACCAAGCGTGTCTTGCTCGAAAGAGCTTTCCGATACAATACCACCAAAATGTTATTAGGGGCCCGAACAAGTCTGGACACATGCCATCGGTGATGAATACCTCGTTGCAAATTCCGTTTTCATTCCTGGATGTAAAGCTACACTAGAATCTGCTATCTCCAATGACGGAAATTTCAGCGTCCACGACAGCGCCTTCAGAACAAGGCCGCGGACCACCAATGCGTCATCCCAAGACCCCTTTCTGTCCTTACCCATTGAAATAATCCTGGAAATTATATCACATCTTAACTCCCCTGACATTGCGAATCTTCGCCTCTCATCACGCGCATTCACCCATCTGCCAATCTCTTTCTGGCCATCAACTTATCCTGAAGGAACTGCCTTGGCTGTACGAAGCGTGGTCTGCCGATCCAGCACCATATTACTGGACGACAGCTGTGATCCGTGATCTTCATGCAGAGCAGGAAGCTATGGAGAAGTTCGATCTTGAGCTTCAGATACGAGAGGTTATCAGGGAGGACATGCCGTCGATCTATAACGAGTGGGTTGAAAATGAACCAAAAGTGGGAGTGGCCAGAGCACCCGGAGAGACAAATCAAGTTGGATATGGGACCTGTGAAATTACCGGGAAATAGGACGAACTGGTATGCTCTGTTCTGCAGCATCACGCGTAACTGGAAACGGTTGAAAGGGCTGCAGAACAGAGAGAGAGTCTGGGACAATATAATGCAGTTCATAGAGGCAGCGAAGGGAAGCTCGTGAGGAAAATACAACTGATATATGAAACATGACGTTGGTATTGAGGATGAGGGGCGCTCCAGTTTTTGATTCTTCCTTCGCTTTCTTACTATAAAAAATATCTCCTATTCTTCTTACTCCTCATCTCAATCCCTCTGCTTTGTTCTTCTTCAACACCACAAAACGTCAGCAAGGAGATTTTGGGGTTTATGAACCCAATCCGAAGAACGAAATAGATAGGTGGTGAGGTCTAGCTAGTTATTTTTCCATCCCTGATCGGTTTCGTTCTGCGCGGACTACCCAATTCCAATTCATCATATACACACTTGTAGAAGACTATTAGAGAAAATCCAACGCTCGAAGGGTTGGATGCTAATCGGTCCCATAGTGGTACAGCAGTAGGTGGTCTTTGAAGTTACGCTAAGCGAGGAACCATGGCTTGCTGGAGCGTGGGAGGTTTTAATGGTAAGTAGCAATCGGCAGTGAGTTAAGCAAAGCATACGAGAGGCCATTACAATACCCCACTGAATTGTAGAACTGTATCCCTATTCACCTCATTTCTTTCGTTAAAGAACCAAATGGATGGGGGGACTGACTAAATGACATCTGTGATTCAGATTCCAACTGGAACGACGGTGGTGGTAGCGGTGGGGACTGGAACAACTCAGGGGGGCCAAAATGAATATGGAGAAGGCAATATTAATGCTGGTGAGAAGTATGCTGAAGGCAGAGATGGAACTTGTCGCAAGTAAATCAAACCCACCTTTATAGTTAAAGGGATAACTATCCAATAACAATCTATATTTAGCTGTGGTCGGTTTGGACATCTTGTTCGTGATTGTACTGAGCCTCGCAGGGTCACTGGTGCTTGTTTCAATTGCGGAGAAGAAGGGTAAGTCAAATTTTTCGTCCGGCATCACGATTCAGTGCTGATATATCCATAGACATGACAAAACGGAATGTACCAGGCCTCGTGCTTTTAAGGGCACCTATCGATTTTGTGAGAAAGAAGGTCATCCTGCCTCTGAATGTCCAGATAGACCGGCGGACGTCTGCAAGAACTGCAAGCAAGAAGGTGATCTACACCCCTTACCTACCGCATCAAACGGGTCGGAACGCTAATCAGCTTTGGAAGGAAAATAGGACATAAAACAATGGAATGTACCCAGAATCGCAGATTTGATAAGCATCATGTTCCGCATAAGCTTCCTGGAGAAGCTTGGGCAATTTTGAAGAAAGCCAGCAAGGAAAAAAGATCTTGTGGAATTCCGTGAGGTAAATCCTACGTATCATGAATCTTTGGTTTCTCCAAATTGCTGAAAATATATTTGTGCCACTAGGGGATCAAAATACACTCAAAGGCAGTTCCACTAGCAAATTTTGATGAAATCGAGAAGAAGATGCGCGAAGAGAACTTCAATATGTATCTCGTTGGTCTCGTGAGTTTGGTATGCAATTGTAGATGGGATGGAGCGAGCCCCGTTAAACATCGTCGAGCCACTTAAGAGTTAACTAATCGGTGAGCAAAACAAACGTCAAAATAAGCTTCTCTTGCCGAGCCGGGGAAGCCGAGACTTCCGGCCCGAATCCTCGATAAACAAAACGTTTTGTTGTGACGCCTTTTATCGTTCTTTCTGATGAGCAAGAATGACATTTTAACGAGAGGCAGAGACACAGGGAGAGAACAAGTCAGAAAATAAATTTGGACCATTCTCGGTGGTGTTTCGCGGGATGTCTTGCGATTTAAGTTGTACTAGTATCCTACAGAGTCGACTGTGTGAGGGACGACGAGGGACCACCTAGGTTTCAGAGTTTCAAAACTTTATTCTGTTTCAAAATGGGCATGTCAAATTGAAACCCTGGCGTATCTGCATTGGCGCCAGCTCAATTCTTGAAGCCCATCCACTTGCTCTAGTTAATTAACTAACTCCGGCTTGCTAAAATAGGAAATCTTGAAATTGATTTTAATCGATGTGACGGAGGGTTTACCACTCCCGTCAGAATTCTACCGTTAATTCACTTTGAAAGCTACGGAGAGCTACTAATATGCGGGCGATTCAAAAGCAGCATCCCAACGTTTAATCAAGGGGCTGACGGAAGTCGCAAGGGCAAGTAAGTAACTAGTTAACTAAGTAGTTAACTACAACAAACCAAAAATTCTCCAGATCGATGCATTCCATGGTTGCTCCGACGCCACGGAAATCCGTGTCCAGGTTGTGCACAGAGATGCATCCCGCATGGGAATTCCAATGCACGTCAGGAAATCCCGAGATGCAGATGCAGCTTCTAGAACACGACTCGACAGGTACATTGTACCTACACTTTTGTGACCGCTTTGATCTTTATTATTTGGAAGGGATGGTGTCCGTGTGAAGCCGGCCGGGAAAGATTGACAGTAGTCGCATAACCAACTGCCTTCTTGTGTTTCTTGGGTTTTCCTTTCTCGGGCAAAACATTGGCGATGGAAATTCTCCAAAAGATTCTTGGCAACGGGGATCATGTTGGTGATGGAGGAGATTGTGCGTGGCACCTTTTTTCTTCAAAAACTTGCCGCCAGGCTCATAGCACCTAAGTAGGCAATCCTTCTTAGTCTGCATTCCACCAGCCTTTTTATTGCAAAACCACGTTGCCCTTCGTTATATACGCTAGAATAGTTGGTGAGGGATAGGTGCATTATCGGCTTTTTCCAAAAGTGGCAAGCCAGAGATCGGTAACTAACTAGTTAACTAATTGGTTAGTTCCCAACAAAAGGTTTCCAGTGGGATGGCTTCACCAGGAAAGTTGCACAAGCCGGAATCTCGCTGCACCTCACCCACCAACGGGCTTCTGCTGCGCTTCAAAGTCCAGTTTGAAAAGTTGGTGATCGTCAGCGGTGTCCACTAAAACAGAATTCCCCAACAGTTTGGTGAGATGGTCAGGGTCGGTCCACATGCCCTCCTGTTTCACTGGACAGGGAAGGGAACTGGAGATCTTCGACATCAAGTTCCAACCCCGCAGGTCTCCATATTCCTGAGCCCCCCTCCCCCGGAGTCAAGCCAAAGCCAAGGTTGGAGAATAGAGAAGGGGAGGCTGGTTCAGGTTACCGACGACCTTGGGTCTCAGGAGTCGACGGATATGTTCGATGACTCCAAGCAGCGGAGATTTTGTGCCAAAAATAAAATAAAAAATAAAATAAAAAAAAGTCCATCGAGATGGCTGATATCCGCGACGCTAAAGTCAATAACTTCGACCAGCAGATCTTTATGCATGTTTGGCTCTTGCCCATGTGTGGTGCAGGAGTCCCGCTCGTGGAGCTGAACCCTGGAGGCGGGAGACAGGTGCAGCTGCTATTTAAGCTACCCCGACGATGGGGATGCGAAAATTTCATAAAACCCCTCCACATCCCCAGTTGTTTTTATTTTTATTGCTATTCCCAACGTCTCTCTTCCTCTCATTGTGTTTACCTGTGATCTGTGTTCTTCGTTGACCTTCTCATCTGTTCACCCAAGTCCTCGATTTCGCGCATTAGAAGCCGTTGATGACTTTCTATCCTATTAGGCGCGTATAATATATCTCCTTCACAGAATGGGTGGGCGCTACTGCGGCCTCCGAGGCACACGCCTCAACGTCGCAATTGGCGTTATTGCTGGTCTTGATTTTCTGTACGTGGAAAATAATTCCCTGTACCACTCTGTTTCACATTGGAAACTTATACCCGTTCCCACAGGCTCTTCGGTTATGACCAGTACGAAATGTGCCCTTGTAATACCACGGGAGCACTTCCGTGAATCTATTTTAAGCTTCCAAGTAGTTATACCTAACTCTTGACGATAGAGGTGTTATGGGAGGTCTTTTGACGCTTCCCTCCTTCGCATCAACGTTCCCTGAAATCGACCTCACGGAGAAGACCAAAAAGACTTTAACTTCTGCTGAGGTGAACCACAGATCTAATATCCAAGGTGCTTACATGAAGCCGCATCACAAGGAATCACTTTTTGGCCCCTCGTATATATAGAATTGTGTGCCCGCTAACGTTTCATTGTATTGGCGAGGACGTTGTTTTGTGTTCTGACGTGCGTTATAATTTAGGTATTTCGGTTGCGTCCTACAATGTTGGCTGCTTTTTTGGTGCCATTGCCTGTATCTGGATCGGCGACATCCTTGGGCGCCGGAAAACTATCTTTATCGGATCTGTGATCATGGTGGTTGGGGCTGTTCTGCAAGCCTCTGCATTCGGTCTTGCGCATTTCGTTATAGGCAGGGTTATCACGGGTCTAGGGAATGGCTTGAACACCTCTACCGTCCCAACCTGGCAATCCGAATGTTCAAAATCTCACCGCCGCGGCCAACTGGTCATGGTCGAAGGGGCTCTGATCACGGGTGGCATTTGCCTCAGCTACTGGTTAGATTTCGGTTTCTCATTCCTCGAGCCTAGCAGCGTCTCCTGGAGATTCCCGGTCGCCTTCCAGATTGTTTTGGCCGTGTTCATTCTTGCCGCCGTGATGTTATTACCCGAATCTCCCCGGTGGCTTATCCTGAAGGGCAAAGAAGACGAAGCACTGAACGTCCTAGGAGCACTGAGCGATTTGGCAGCTGATGACCCTTATATCAACAGGGAATTTATTGCCATCAAGGATACTGTCCTTGAAATGCAACAGGGAGGTTTTGCTGATCTTTTCACGATGACTGAAGATCGTCACTTCCACCGTGTTCTCCTGGCGTACGTCAACCAGATGTTTCAGCAGATCTCCGGTATCAATCTCATCACTTATTATGCTGCTGTGATTTACGAGACCAGTATTGGTCTCAGTGGCTTCATGTCGCGAATTCTCGCCGCTTGTAATGGCACCGAATATTTCATAGCATCTTGGATCCCTGTCTTTATCGTGGAGAAGGTTGGTCGACGTCCGCTTATGCTTGTCGGTGCTGTTGGCATGTCACTTTCCATGGTTGTTTTGGCTGTTGTCACCAGCTTTGAGCGTCAAACCAAGCCTGGTATTGTGGCGGCCGTCTTCCTGTTCGTCTTTAATACATTCTTCGCTATCGGTTGGTTAGGCATGACTTGGCTATATCCGGCAGAAATTGTACGGCTATATCTTTATTCGTTTTGTAATTACGGACCGTGTTGGGTTCTTTTCATTTACACCGGATCTGATACTGATATTGGTGACTATCTAGGTCCCTCTTCGTATCCGGGCGCCTGCAAACGCTCTATCAACCTCAGCAAACTGGGCATTCAATTTCATGGTGGTCATGGTTACCCCTGTGGCCTTCACCTCCATCAAATATAAGACCTACATTATTTTCGCTGTTATGTGAGTTTGTTTTTATTGCCTTCCAAGATTCCCCGGCGCATCAGCCAATCAGGAAATAAAGGGATGAACCAACAACACTAATGCTATGTCAACCAGCAACGCCTTCATCGTACCTGTTGTCTATATCTTCTACCCCGAAACCGCGTATCGTTCTCTCGAAGAAATGGACACTATATTCCGCAAGACCGACTCGATATTCAACGCCGTGAGAGTTGCAGCAGAGACTCCGTGTCGCTACGGAAAGAATGGTGAAGTCCTGATCAACTACGACGAAACCGAAGAGCACCAACGCAAATCTAGCGCTGTAGGTTTCGAAAATTATACGGCAGAAAATAAACACCATGCGAACCCAGATCACAAAGTTGAAGCCGGCAATTCGAGCGCTCATAGCTCTTCCTAGTCACTTTCTCGTAATGTGAGTTCTTTATTATTATTATTGTTATTATTTTTACTGGTTTTTTGTTTTAATTGACTTTCTTTATCTCCGGCTGTCGAGTATTACCATCGGAGTTCTTTACCTGCAACAATTTAAAATAAAAATGCAGAACTAGTTTTTAAATTTTAATTTATAACTTCTTACATAAAATCCTTTATTATTATAATATATATTTTAATTACTCTAGTTATATATAACTAATCCTCAAAAATAATTACGAAAATGTTTAAGTTTTAAGTTTTAATAATTAAACGATTTTAAAAAAATTTATTAAACTAATTATTATAATTAAAAAGTTATAATAAAAAATAAAATAATTATAATTTTATAAAAATATATTATAAGTTTATAATATTTAATTTTACGTAGTGAACATAATCCTCTTCAGGTGACTTGACATTGCCCCTTTCGCCAATGATTTTTCGCCTATGACTTTTCGCATTCGGAGTCAGCAGCGCCAGCTGACGTTGCTACTTTTTAAACCGTTTCACACATATTCCAATTCTCCAAGTTGATTTCCCTACTTCGGTTTCCAAACAAGGGAACCGACAGCTTTGTGAAAGCTAACCTATCATTCATTGGCCGGATTGGCCATATGTGGCAGTAAAGCCAATCCTTGCTTGCCCCTCTCATTGTTGTCTTTCCTTTCCACCTGGGTTTCCGCGCAGTCAGACCGCAGAGTTAGAAAGGTAAATATACTTGCAGAAATCTTGGTGGAGGATAAGATGTAGTTACCAGTGAGACAGCTGCAACCGCAACCGCAACCGCAACCACAGAGAGGAAATGAAGATGAAACAAATGAGAGTGGAACAACCAACTCTTCACCGTCAACATAGATTGCAAAGAGTGGTATCTGGAGTCACTTCCGGCCATAGTGCCTAAGATTAAACCCCAGAGATGGCGCTCTGAGAGCTCCGAGAGCACGCCATAGACAACTTGCATCCTCCGATACCTGCCCCGATGCCAACAGTCCCAGATTACGTTGCCTATGAATACACCCGCCGTGTTGGGAAGTTTCCCATGTATGTCTTTATCAATCTGTCTTGGAATTGTGTAGTCCCCGATTTCAGAAGCTGCCGCATGCTCACCGCAACATCGAACTTCCTTCCTGTAACATCGTTGTAGTGCCTGATGGGTAAAATATGTACCCAGCTGGTGGAAGTAAAGATGACGAAGGCGATCCAAAGTAACGTTAACTGTTTGCGGGATAATGGAAATGGTCATTCACATACAATAGTTTCCGTTCGAGCCTTGTTGAGTGATCCCGGGTTGAGTTGTCAACAGTTGCTCGTTAGATCTCCAAAGGTACATACGAAGTTCGTAGGAACTTAACTTCCACAACAACTTTCGGAAACTTAAAAGGTTGAAGGTCACTGTGCTAGTAGTTAATAACTTTCTGCCAGTAAATAGAAGAAATTTCCCGGGTTTTACCATAATTTTAACGAAAGTAACGCGGGGGAAGATCGCATGTTGCCTGGAGTTGAACTAACCTCCGACTTTTCCACCAGCAAGAAGAACATGATAGTTATCGCATATCGCGCATATATAATTGCCAGCCGTATCATTGCCAGTGTGTCTGTCATTTACTTTTCCTTCCGCTTCTTCATCCTTTTGATTCCGCGAGTAACAAGAAAAGTTGAATGGCTTCCCCGACCCCAGCACTTGGATAACCACAAGGCTCCCCCTCGGTGATTGAAGTAGATTAGGGACTCGATTGGATGCCGAGCATCAAAGGAGGATCCTGCGAGGTAAGTGACATAAGACAGAGTTGATCGTGAATAGCTATTGCATTCCTTGTACTCTGCCTTGCATTGCAGTTTTGAGGAGAAGCCAGTTCAATTGCACTATCCCACCTCTGTTTTGACGCCCCGGGCTCTGAGAACAATATTTACTGCAATAAAAATCTCGCAGAACCGAATTGCCTTTAATATTTCTCCGGAATGACTGACCCGCTGTGCAAAGGTTTACATTTCTCATCTTGCTGGGGGCGCATGGGAATTCCGGAACAACTTTGTTTCTCTTGTCTAGTTGTAGAGAGAGCAGAATTGAAAATTCTGAATCTCGAAGTTAACCAATTTTGCCTTCTCCACTGCTGCGGATACTCCACTTTTTAAGACCTCGGGAGCTTAGTTGAAATCTATGTAGCTTTCTGCTTTAAGGAACGAGAACAAGTCCATTCCGCACCGCTAGATTTATTTATTTATTTATTTATTTATTATTATTATTATTATTATTATTATTATTATTATTATTATTTTGCATTTTTTACTTTTTGGTTGGACGGTAACTACATACGGATCCTGCCTTCGCAGTCTTGATTTTAGTATTATCCGGTATTTGTTAACTTGGCTTTTGAGAACGGAGGGATTGAACAAAAAGGTAAAGTCGATTTACCGCAAATTAGTACAAAATGAACAACTTCATTATTTTCCGATCATGCTGCCCACTAACTAATTAGTGCATGAAAAGGTCTCGAAAACCCGAAGTTACACTGTCCAACTCCACTGTGACACACCCATCCGCGTAAAGCGAGCAGAAATTGCAAATGCCCATAGAGTTCATTTTTATCGGATTACCCCGGTATATATAGATAGTACTTGTTCACTGCACAAGACCACTCATTTCATTCCCCATCATTGACACCATGGGGAAAGACCTGGTAGAGGAGAGGGCCCAAGAGCAATTCGGGAGCGGGACCATTATTGAAGATAACTCAACTAGCTTCCAAGATGCCGAACAGGGTGATGAACCTGACATGGAGACGATTGATCGCATTTATAGGTATGGAACTCCCTGTTTTCTTAATTTATGAATCACAGAAAATAAACGCCTTCAATCGAGATAAAGTGTTCTTTTTAGTTAAAGACCAGATCGACAAAGTCTAAGGGGAAAATAATGAACACTAACTTCTGGCCTAGGAAAATCGATTGGAGGATAATCCCGCCATTTTGGACCCTTTATTTCCTGTGCGCGGCTATCAGGTCCAGTATAGGGCTGGCTCAAACGATGAATATTGACAAAAAGCACGACCTTGGCAGCGTGCTAGGCATATCTTCTCACCAGATTTCAACCAGCCTGGCGCTGTTCTATGTCTGCTATGTGATTTTCGATCTTCCGTCCAATCTAGTAATGACGAGGCTAAGTCCTCGTGTCTGGATGAGTCGCATTGTTATCGGCGTTGGCGCCATCGGGTGTTGCTTCGCCGCAGCCAAAGCTGCGTGGAGTTTATAGTAATTACTCCCATTATATCCTTCATATATGTCATTTCACTCCACAGAACTACCCAGGCTAATTCAATATCCTTAGTTTACTCCGACTCCTCCTTGGAGTGGTCATCGCGGGCATGTGGCCAGGTATGGCGTATTATCTCACACTTTTCTACCCACCCTCACGCACCGGAAAACGAATCGGCCAGTACTTCACTGCAGCCCAAGTATCCGCCGCAGTCGTTGGCCTTGTCTCTGCCGGCTTCCAAAAAATGGACAGCTTGAAAGGCCTCGTCGGATTCCAGTGGATGTTTCTCCTATATGGTATCGCGGGTACCCTTACTGGAATAAGCCTCTTCTGGTGGCTCCCGGAGCGCCCGCTTCCACCGGGAGAGAAATTACTACCGAGATCAAAGTTTTTACGGTGGGTTCCCCAAACGACTCCTGTGCTCAGAGGGCGGGATGCAGAAATTCATTTTCGCGATTTGAAGCGGGCATACCATAGCACCCGATGGACCCTGCGGGACCTCTTCCACGTGTTGATTGATTGGCGCCTGTGGCCACTTGTAATCATGTACTTTGGAGTCGTTGGCGTGGGAATCGGGGTGCAGAGTTACGGGACTGTTATTATCCGAGCGGCGAATCCGTCATTAACGGGTGTTGAGTTGAGTTTATTATTCGCTCCAATCTGGATTGTATGAAGTCCCTATTACTCATTTCATTTTTCCATTTTCAGAAACTCTTTTCCATCTCCTATCCCCGACCCCAATTAACCTGCCTAGATTAAAATATGAAAGGAACCACCGGTCTGACTAACACTAACCTCCTACAGATGGACCTAATCGCCATTCTCCTCATAACCCCAATCTCGGACCGCTTCCACCACCACCGCGCCATCTTCTTCGTCGTCCCCGTCCTAATCCAAATCGTAGGCCTGCTCCTGACAACCTACGCCGGCACAGCCACAAATACCTGGTGGCGCTATGGTGGCCTGCTCATCGTCGGTTTCGGCCTAGGCCCCACCGTTCCAATAACTATGACGTGGACAAACGAGCTCTTCCAGTCACGCCATGGGGAGGTGGGCGTAGCAGCAGCATCTGCGCTCGTCTCGGGTCTAGGTAATTTGGGAAGCATCCTCACTACATATGCACTGTATACGGGCTGGGCGAGCGATCGTGAGGCCAAGGGAACTAAGAAGTATCGGAAGAGTAATCTGGTTATGGTTGGGATATTGTGTGCAAGTACTGTGGCAGCGGTGTTGCTGGAGGTGCTGTTGAGGATTTTGGATAGGAAGAATGGAGCCGGTAGTGGGGATGGGGATGCGAATGGTGGTGATGGTGCAGCGAGGAGAGAGGTGAAGCAGAGGGGGTTGAAGGGACTGTGGGTTTTAAAGTTGTTTAGGAAGTAGGGATTTTGTTTACCAAACTAATTCAAAAGTTGCTGGGTTTGCCGAAGGAAATTTTGGAAATAAAGTGTTAGTATTAGCATATTCCTAGCCGGTTTCGTCGTAAACGTTGTATAGATGTCGATATAATGTAAATAAATGCATAGATTCCTTCAATGTTGATTGAGGACCATGAGATAACAATTGGGGGATGATGCTGGCGACAACGGATCGGAGCGATTGCTTGATAATTAATTTCCCCAAGGTCTCTTTCAAAGCTCATCATGGAATTTCATGGGCAATCGTTGTTCTTTGGATGCCAGTAAGCCCCGGCTTTGGGCATTCAACTGATTACAGCGAACACGGTATTGCGGCGTTTAAGCCTAACTACCGCGCGCTTATTTTACCCAATCACAGAGAGACATCATTAGCCGCCATGCATCAACCTTACCCAGAGCCAAAACCTCCTGGGGCACATTGGCGAAGATGGTATCAAGAGCATTTAAAAATAATACAGCGTCCCACATTCTCTCAATTCAATTCGGTTGTTTACAATAAGTTGAAGAACCCATCACCCCACCGTGTATATTCTCATAACTCCATTTATCACCAGCACCAGCAGCAGCAGCAGCAGCGGCGGCGCGAGAACTAGCAACAGGTACACCGCTAGCAGCTATAGTAGTCTCCGCCGACCAACTCGAGAACTGCCTCGTGGGAACCTTCTGCTCAAACATTATATCTAATTCTGCAGCAGAACGACCCATCATTTCAGGCACAAGTTTCCAAATGAGGTATCCAGTCAGCGCGCACAGGCCAAAGTAGATAAACCCTGTTTTGGCTCCAAGATTGCCCTTGTCCGTGTTGTATATGTATGGCAACGCAACTGCGAAGATACATGCATAAAAGCTATGCACAGCCCATCCGATAGCCTGAGTCCTCCCACGGAGACGAAGGGAAGATGTCTCCGCCGTGCCAAGGACGGAAGCTGGCCAGACGCCGTTCGCGCAGACAAATATGACGCCAATCATACTTGCGGCCGTGAACCTATATCATTGTGAGAAGAATGTTGAGTTAGAAATTATCGCTACCAATTTTCCTTTCAAGGGGCGCAGTCGCTACATCCATGCTGCCTTGCTTTTGCGCTCACGATGTGAAAACTTGTGGAATGAATGAAAATGAAAGAAAAATCGACATACCACATCGTCACCGGGCTATCAAAGCAGCCCGAAATCCCCATTGCACCCCAAAATGCTCCAGCAATACCAAGCGTCCACAGCATAAGCGGCCTGCGCTTTGTAACAGACAATGTCCACACAGATATGATGTTCGCCACCAAGCCAACTGCAACACCAATCTGTAAAAGCAGAACACTGAGGATCGGCTTCATGCCAATGGTCTGTGCAAAGTAACTGGCTGTCGCAAGCAAGCCCAGGCCAAAATTCTGCGGTACAACGTGGCAAACAAGCACGATGATCGTCCTCCGAAGATCCACACCCCTAAAACAATCGATGAACCGCACCTGGGAACCTATCCTCTTCTGAATCTCCCTCTCCAGCTCCATGGTCTCACATAGCTTATCCACCATCTTATCTGTATCGACTTCTTTCCGGTGGAGACGCCGTTGCGACTTGCGAGCATCATCCACTTTACCCACACGGATAAGATGTGGCGGACTCTCCGGTATTAAAACCGCAATACCCAACAAGATCGCCGAAAACACCCATTGGGACGCAACGGCGATCAAATACCCCCACCATCCATCGACAGACAAACAACCAAAGACCACCAAGGTCCCAAACAGCTGTCCCATCATGGTCATCACGGGTAGAAGTGCCTGGCTGGACCCTCTGAGCGCACGCGTCACGATCTCAGAGGTGTATATCTGCACGGTACATATAGCCTGACCTGCTGCAAAGCCCTCGACAAGCTTGCCCAGCAAGAATATGCCCCGACGAACGTCTATGTCGGGTGAAAAGGCGGACACAAAACAGATTGCGATGCCAAGGGCTGATATCACAGCGCCCAGTGCGAGGGAGAAGCGGCGACCGTACCGATCAGATACCCAGCCGGCAACGGCAGCCCCTGCGATGTTGCCAAGGGGTGGTGCGGCGGTCCATACACCCAACCACGCGGAAGGGATGATGTATTTTTTGCCGAACATTTGGCCGTAGTCGCGTCTGTTGTGGATGGGGTTGGCTTTGGATTAAATAAATTTAAAAGGTAAAAGAGGTAGCCCTTTTGCAAGGACAAGGTAAAATGCAGAGAGGCGAGTCATCTAACTCACTGGAACTCAGGCATTGCAGTCAGCGTACTGACAATGACCATGTCAAATCCATACAGGAGAATGCCCGGTGTTGCGGCGAAGGTATATGCAACAACTCTAGGGAATTGTTTAATAGCCTTGAAAAGAGGCAGTTTGGCGGGATCAGCGCTGTCGAACTCGTAGATGGAATCGCTACTTCCACTGCTATTACCCATTGTCATTGTCGACTCCGTGGACTCAGTCAGTTCCATCATCGTCAGTGTAGCGGTACCCTTCTCCTTCTCCATGACTACTCTCGTTTTTGACAAATTATATTTGTCTTGGTCTGCCTTGACGAAACCCAGGGCTGAAAATGCGACGATGAGTGTGTCCTTCGTTCCTTCAGAGCTTGGTTGGTGATCAATATGTGGCGGATAACGCGTAGTCAGACACCGTACGTCGACAGGGTAAGACCGAAGGGGGCATGTACCGAACAACTCTAACCACAACAAATGATACAGCAACTCTCAAATGACAAATATGCGTCGAATATAACCAAACAAGAAGAGATGTATAAACAGATATATATATATATATATATATACAGAGGGAGGATAAATCGAGTCGTGTCATTCAATATCCTAAACTCGCCCTCCAGAAGCCCCAAGCTGACGAACCTGCCGAGAGCTCAACAACAGATTGAGATGCAGTCTTCTCACCCATGGAATATGCTGCTGAAACAGACCAGTTGATTCCCCAATATCCTATCGAGAGGAAACAAATATCATAAAAAATAACTTGGAACTTGTCACAGTCAAGGTATATAAACTCAGATACAGATTTTTGTACATTTGCAGGATTCTTATATTTTGCAGGGTATACTGAACATGGAATAAGGGCCTGAAATCCCGGACCCAAAGCCAAGCGAATCGGCGCAAAAACCTCATGCACCAGTCCAACTCAAAGAGAGCCTTCAGGGGTTAGTGCTCGTTGGATTACTCTACAGAGTCTAGTGCTGTTAAAAATAATCGAGCCCTATGGAATTGCTACTGGGCTTGGAATTTAAACTCTACCGGAGTTCCGAGTATCCTTGCCCCCTGCAGTGGGTTAATTTTGATTTTACCAATCAGCAAATTCGAGCGCCTAGAGGATGCTGATTAAAGACGGGACGTTTTTGTTGGAGGATTCCCCGGCTTCCCGACGTCACGTGCACCTATGTATTTATTAGTAGCTAGCTAGCTTGATAACGGTCCTCTAAGAGGTTATGAGACCCTCGAATTAGAGGTCTTTCGCTGCGAACAACGTGAGGAGAAGCTACAAACGAACAGCTACAAACAACGTGAGGAAAAACACGAACAACAATTGGACGACATCGATGGTCAATCTACGTTCGGGTAGAACGCCAGATTTGACAGAAGAATACATGCCAAAAAGGAGACAAAACCAAGGATCTGAGAATAGGACCCCAGAGATTAGGACTTCAGAGCCCACAGGTTCGCTGCCTACACCTATTACAGTCTGTAGAAGTGCCCCTGGAGCATTTGAAATAGACAAGATGATTCCAGAGAAATCAGATGAGTCTAATAACACATATGAAGACCTGGTTGATGAAATGTCAGAGAATATAATTGACCCTAGTGGCCAGGTGTCAGGAGTTAGTGAAGAAACTCTGATAAGATTAGAGATTGCAAAACTTCAGCAAGAAGTTGAAATGATAAGAGCTAGTAGGGAGGCACTTATTACCAATGCTAGTGATAATGAAATAAGCAAAGATCTTGCAAACTATCTACAGAGAAATGATAGCATTATTGTCATAATAAAGATCTTGACTGAATTTAGAGATCAAGTGAAGCATATCAAGAAATCTGTCATTCTGATTAATTTCACAAACTATTTAATGTGAAGAGAAGAGATAATACTGGTTGCTAAGCAATCTGAAATTAATAATATTTTCAATGAGAAGCAATCTACCTCAGAGGATGATGCCAGTATGAATATACAATATTTTTGAACTGAAAAAAATATATAACTCTATAATTATATGTTGTCTTCAATCTTTCTATAAGTAAGATCTCATTTTATAATACTCTCAAATCATCAGTTGTCAGTATATATTCTATGAACAATCATAGAAGAGAACTTTTTAAAAAGGTCTGCAGTTCACTACATTTATTTTTTTGAGAAATTAATTAGCTTGACAGCTAAGATGAAAGATTTAGATAGAGCTTTTATAGAATGTCTAATCATCATTCAGACTGAATATACTTATTTGAAATATAAGATTGAAGATTTTGTTCTTTTCAACTGCTTGTTAACTGATGTCAGTGCTGAATGAGCATTATTCATCAGAGATAGAATGAATCACACTAAAAAAGATGCCAACACTTATAATATTGAGATAGATTTTATGAGACTGTGTTGAGATATTCTATTATGTCTATCAGTCTCTGAACAGAATATTGTCTTGATAAATACAAGAAATTCTACAAATAATACTCAAGATTCATGAAAAAAGAATAAAAGTAAGAATAAGAATTTAAGAACTAAAGATAAAGATAAAGATAAGAAGTTCAAGCAGCATAGCAACAACATGAAAAAGATATGCTATTACTGTCAGAAGACAGAACAACTCAAGATTGACTATTGAATAAAATATTCAGAAAAACATTCTGCAGATTATAAAGAAAAGAATAAACATAAGAACAAGAATAAAGACTACACTACTTCAGTTCATAATATTGTGAAGCAAGTATTCTCTGCAAAAAAAATGATTTATTTCAGTGATAAAGTGATGAAGAATATCTGAGTTCTAGACTCTGAATCAGAAGCTCATGCTACATCTCTGAAGAATATTGTTGAGGTTATACTTCAGAGGATGAATGTCATATTGAAGATAACAGATGAATCTACAACATCAGTAGCAGTTGTAGAGAGAGTGTGCATTCCAACTGAGAAATTAGATATTGAACTGAATAATATCTGTTATGTTCTGAAGCTGAAAATCAATTTAATAAGTCTTAGAAAACTTGTATGCAAAGGTTATACTTTCAAATAATTGATATATAACAATAATCATTCAATTTTGATGATACTTTCTGACAGAATAACAGGTTTCACAGTGTATTTGAATGAAAAGAATATCTATATGATGGAGAAATCATCAGCATTAAGAGATTTAATTTATTTTGCAATGTCAAATGATGATTTTGAACCTACATGTGTCTTGTAATCAAATAATGATTCTCTAATGAAGCTGCTCAAAGAGAATATCAAGACTTTAAAATACATGATGATACAGTAGCATCAAAAGCTGAGTCATTTAAACTCAGTAGATATATCAAGAATAACTGCAGATTCTAGACAAGAAATGTGAATAAGAGATCAAAGGACTTTGTCATTCTGCAAGACATGTATACAAGTAAAAATGATCTATCTATCTTTTGTTTCAATGAGCAGAGCTGTCAAATCAGCAATGAATTTTTTTGTGAATCTTGCAGAAAGGGAGAAAACACTATATGATGAAGAAAATCTACTCACTGAAGAAGATGCAAGATATTGAATAAGAATTACTAATAATATCACTCACTTTAGATAAATTATTCTGATTATCATAAAAGTAGAGATCATATCAGTACTCATGAGCTTTATTAACATGATTGAAATAATATCTTAATAGTTTGTAGGAACTCTACACTGAAATGATGACAGAGAGTTCAAAAGTGATGATCTCAAGATATTTTATAAGAATAAGAAGATAGTATATGAAGCGGCAACTTTAGATACATCTCAATCAAATGACTCTGCAGAATATGTGAACTGATTAGTGATGAATAAGACAAGAAGTTTACTATTTGATAGTAAGCTTGTCAGAAAACTTTGAGATGAAGTAATGCAGGCAGCTGTAATATTGATAAATACATTTTCTACATCAATAAAGATTTTTAACTGCAAAGATGACAGTTTATTGACATCTTTTGAAATCTGAATAAAAATTTAACTGTCAGCTCATTGAATCTACAGGTAAGAATGTAAGATTTACAAGAAGAATCTGAAAATGACAAATAAACTCACAGACAGAACAGATGATAAGAAATGACAATTGATGAGTTATCAAAAATTGCATCAATATCATATATGAGACTGAAAAGAATATAAATTAGAGATTGTTAGAGATGTTATTTTTGATAAAGATCTTGTTACAAAATCTGTTCCTGTGAATGCTGTGAGTGAAGCTGTTGAGATGATGAGAAAAGATATCAAACTGTCAAAAAAATTAGATATTATTGACTCTCTGAATGATTAATATTACTGTCTGCTAGAATAACTAACAAAAGATAAATCAGAGGTTCTGAAAATATTAATTAATAATAATCTGAAGAATATCATTAATTCAGTTTATCTGCTTAATGAGATAGAGCTAGTTAAGGATAATGAATCTGAAATACTCATCAGTAACACTGATTCTGTTCTGAATATGTTTATAAATCACTCAAATAATCTGACAGAGATGAAGAAAAGTCCAGATTAAAATCACTGACTTGAGATAATGAGAAAAGAAGTCAAAACATTCAAGAATAAGAAGACATATATTATCATTGAGAAGATGTCTAAGATGAATGTTTTGACAGACAAATGAATGTTTGATCATAAGTTGAATAATAGAGATGAGATAATTCATTTTAGAGTCTGCTGAGTGATTAAAGAATTTCTGCAACAGCAAAGTATTCACTACTTCAAGTTCTATGCTACAGTTGTCTCAGAGTCTATAAGTCACTTTTTATTCACTATATTAACTGCTAGAGGTTAAAAATCAAAGTTGATTGACTATATGTCAATATTTTTGAATGATATACTATCACAGGATGAAATAATTTATATGCAGTTATCTACAGGCATTAAACATGAAAGGAAAGGACTGATTAGTCTTCTCAGACAGAGCTTGTATAATATGAAGCAAGCTGCAAAGATCTGATATTTTGTGATAACAGAGCATCTCATATTACTAAGATTCAGAATTTCAAAATATGATGAAGAATTTCTATTTCATTCTATCTACAAGATCTATCTAACACTACATAATGATGATTGCAAAGTTATAAGCCCCAAAGAGACAGAATTAGATTGAGTGTTAAGTGAGATATGAAAGAAATTTGATACAAAAGATATTGAAGAAGACAAGTCTTATCTTGAAATGAAGATCAAATGCAGGTCAAATGATGATTTAGTGGTCTCACAGACCTACTATATTGAAGAGATTCTTGAAGATTTTAAGATGTATAAGATTAACCCTGCTGGCACACCTATGATGACAGGTATACAACTTGAATTTACCTCAGAGAAGAATAGTAAATTGAAAGATGAGTTTACAGCTATAAAATATCATCAGGAACTTGAATCACTTTAATATTTTGTATCAAGTACAAGGTCAGATTTAACATTTACTATGAATTATTTGTCAAAATTCAACTCACACCTGAATAAGAACTGCTAAGCAGCCCTGAAGCATGTCCTTCACTATGTAAAAAAGATGAAAGCTCTGAAGATAGTTTACAAAAATAAAGGAGATAATAGAAATCTACAGTCAGTTGCTTATTGTGATTCAGATTGAGCAGATACAGACTCTTAATATAAATCAACATCTGACTATATCATCATAATTAATGAATCCTCAATATCATGACACTCACAACATCAAACATCAACTGCAAAATCAACAATAGAAGCAGAGTATATCACTGCTAGTGAGATTGTATGTAAGCTTATTTAATTGAATGATATGCTGCAAGATGCAGGCCTGATAAAAGGGAAGTCAAAGATCTGCACAATATTGCAGATGAATAATAAAGATACCATTGATCTGGCAAAGAAGGAGTCCTTAACAAAAAGATCCTGTCATATAGAGATTCATTATCATATACTTCATGACCTAGTTGAGAAGAAAGAGGTAGAGCTCTCATATATAGATTCTACAGTGAATAAAGCAGATGAATTTATGAAGTCTCTGCCAAAGCCAGCTTACAATGAATTTGTGGAGAAAATAAGATTGATGGAGGTCTGGTCTCATTGATGAGAATGATTGATTTTACATGATTTTGTAGCCCCTAAGGAGGTGTAATAAGAATACAGGTTAGGAGAATAATTGTGTGCTTTCTTTGCAAAGTTACAGTACAGAGGTGTAATAGAGCTTTTCCTAATAGGGAAACTAGCATCTGATTCCTGTATTTAATTTTTATTGCGGATTTGAGGGCATTCAGCAGCTAGGGGATAGGTGGCAGAGCTCAGGCTCACCGTGGCATGGGGGGGTGTTAGAGGATTCCCCGGCTACCCGAGGTCACGTGCACCTATGTATTTATTAGTAGCTAGCTAGCTTGCTTAGAGTCACACAATGCAACAAGGTTGATAACGGTCCTCTAAGAGTTTTGGTGTTGGGTTTGGTTGGTGGGTTGCCGAATCTTGAGGCGTTGGTATCGACATTGGCATTATTAATTTGGCGTTGAAGCGTTGGTTTTAGCAGTGCGTGCGAGCTGTTGGTCCAAAAGCCATCGCCGCCCGCTGGTCGATATTCCCGAGCGTGGATCCACCCCGAGGTTGAATATCACTCACTTCCCCATATCAAGTTGAGGAACTGCTAATGTTCATATTCCACATTGTAGAGAAAGAGGAAGTGTGGTATCTTGTTCAAATGGTTTTGAAGGGTAATTCCATCCATAGACGCAAGGGATAGAAACATTCTTCGTAAACGGATTTAGACCCGGTTTCGAGAGAGATAAAGATTGGACCCCCCCCTTTTTTTATTTTTTTATTTTTCTCTCGAAACCAGCAGCACAAGAGTATGGGGTACCCGGTAATAACTTCACATGAAGAATCGTAACAAAAAGCAGAAGAGTTGGCAAGTTAATCGAACCCACTTTTTGCACGCCATACCCCGCACAGAGTTAGCCGTTCATATGCTTCCCCTTTTTTCCATCTCTCTATTGTGATGGATAGGTGGTGAACTCTCCAGACCCTATCCACCTAAAGAGATTTCACATGGGCTCTTCTTCTGTTACATTTCCCCAAGATACACTACCCAGCTTTGCCAGACGGTTGGGTTTAAAGGGTCTGTCTCATTGTGAGTCTTGGACTTTTTGGACTTTTTGTTGGCATGTGGTTGGTGGTGGCCCCTTAGTTAAGCTAATGTTTAACTAATAATAACAACTGACCCTCGGGAACCAAGACCAACAGGACCCATGGATTGGACAGAACTTCAGATCAACTAGCATACGCATAAAATAACTTCTATCAAATGGGTTCCTGATCTGTATGAGCTTGCAAATATATGTACTTGGGCATTTGGGGCGGACATGTGTTTTTTTTGGTCTTCGGTTCATCGATTGCGTCCCCCACGGCCCTCGCCTCTGCTCCCTTCTATCAACATGTGGGAGAAGATGAACTTTGGCATAACTTTCTAGTCTATGCATGCGAGGGGTTTTGGTTGTACCTAGGGTAAGATCTGTAGGATCCAATGGCGGATTGGGGAGATGTATGGATAGATTCCAAACGAGATGGTGGCATAAGAATCCTGCATTGTATACCTCCCTAGCTAGGTATTTATATAATAAGTAACTTATCAGCTGAAGGCTCCCTTATAGTATAGATAGGGAAAATACAAATGATTGTCTTTGAAGTATTCTGGATAAATATTCTGCTATTGGATTTGTTTCTCACACATCAGATATGAATATAGAGTGTGGATTATATCCCTGTTTTTTGACAAAAGCATCAAGTGACAATATAAATATCGTAAAGGTATTATTGCCTATTATCAAGAAAGAACTAGCGGTTCAGACCAACAGGCAAACAGGCAAGTAAAACAGAGGCAGCAGAATTAAGAAGTGGTGACATTAACATTAAAACAAAAGAAAAAGCATGGCTTGAGAGAGACAGCCAGTACTGAAGTGAGTCTATATGAACAAAAGAAAAGAATGGAAACAACATGAACTCCAAAACACACGTGAAACAATGCCACTATTATCGAATCAACAACGGCGTTTGATGATGCGAACCTGGACCAGACGAGACAAATGGAACAGATCATAGTCATCAACATCATACGATCATAGTTTAACCCCATGAAGAACGAATGTGCAATTAGGGAAAAGGGGGATTGTAAGGGGGATAGTAAAGGGAGAAAAGACTGCCTGTATATATGATTTATGACTTCGCGTTGGTTTGGGGGACATGACAATGATCTTTCTGTCAGGCGGGGAAAACGAGTGAGATATATCTTTAGCCTCCTCTTAACATGTCCAAGCTGCTGGATATCAAACACCTCATCCCTCCAAACACCCAAGTTCGACGCCTGAGGGTATAAAAGAGCGCATGCAAATATGAAAGAGAAAACGCATTCAAACCCATCTATGAAGCGCCACAGAGCTACAGGAAAGAAAAACATGTTAGTAACCGTCAACCACCACCACCACCCTTCTATCTTGAGCAAGAAGCGAAAACTTACAGTTTCAACAATAATCCCGGTAATCTGATACGGATCCGCATTAGACGCAGGTCTTCGATCCTCGAAGTATCCCTTGCCATCCTTCGCGACCTGGCGTGGGATACGAATGCTGCCACCACGGTCTGCTACACCATAAGTGAATCGATCAATGCTACCCGTCTCATGGCGGCCAGTCAGACGATCTTCGTTACCCTCACCGTAGACGGCAATGTGTTCTGAGTGGCGGGCTTCGAGCTTCTTCATCGCGGCCTCAATGACCTTCATGCCACCTTCAGAGCGCATGGCTTCCGTGGAGACGTTGGAATGCAGGCCAGCTCCGTTCCAGTCACCGGGAATTGGCTTTGGGGCAAATGAGATTATGGCTCCGAATTCTTCGGCGACGCGGCAGAGAAGGAAGCGGGACATCCAGAGCTGGTCTCCAACTGTGATTGCAATGGGTTAGATGTTATATATATATAAATATATATATATATATATTTCCCCCCCCCCCCTTTAAAATCACCATATGCAAAATGCATGCATGTACTTACGGGTGATGCCTTCACAGGGTCCAACCTGATACTCCCACTGAGCCGGCATGACCTCTGCGTTGATACCAGAGATTTTGATACCAGCGTATAGACAGGCTTTGTAATGCGACTCGACTATGTCACGGCAATGGACTTTGCCAGTGCCAACACCGCAGTAGTATGGGCCCTGAGCTCCAGGGAAACCACCCTTGGGCCAGCCGTATGGCCAACCATCGGGGCTTAGGAGGGTGTATTCCTGTTCAAGGCCAAACCAAAAATGTTCGTGGGCGTGAGTGCGCATCAGCTTGGAAGCCTCGTGGCGATAGTTGAATTTGTTAGGGGAGCCGTCCGAATCCCAGGTTTCGCAGAGGACGAGGATATTGTCGCCGCGGCGGAACGGGTCTGGGTACATGGCAACGGGTCGCAGGTAAACGTCTGAGTTTTCACCGGGGGCCTGGCCCGTAGACGAGCCGTCGAAATTCCATTCTGGAAGCTCTTCGACTGACTTGACGGGGCCGTTAAGGGTCTGGTGTTTGTTCGTGATAGACATGTTAGAACTTCCTTCGACGCACTGCACTGTGCTGTCTAGTTGGGAGGGTGGGGTGAAGTCATACCTTTGTTTTTGATCGGACGCCACTTGAAGCATCAATCCAGACATACTCCGCCAGGACATGGCCCCGCTGATCAAGGCTCATATATTTCATGAGCTGTAAACAGCAATAGAAAAAGAGAAGAGAAAATCCATCAGTCACACTTCCAGCTGGGAATTGAAACGCGGTCCTCAAACCCGTTCAATATTGGGGGGCTTGAGGAGGGAAAATTGACAAAAAGTGAGTCAAGCAAGGGAAGAAGGCAGAGAAACGTACATTCTCCGTGTTGGAGAGATGTGTTGACTGAAAACCCTACATCACATACTGTTTGTTAGCCGATGCTTCTTTTCTATAGCACTTGTCGGCACAACAGGAGAGGGGCGGTGACCGGAGAGGGCGCGTGAAGGCAAACCTACCATGTCTAGAATGAGTGCGGTGTTGCTTCAAAGAAGGGGTGGCGAAGTAGTTCTTGGGTTGAATGGACAAGATATGCGCGCAAAAGGAGAATTGAGCAGTTATAGGAGATCGATGGCGATGACGACGGAGAGAAGTTTAAGAGAAGAAGATAGAAGAAAATGGATCTGGCATGAAGAGAGGGGACGGGGTTGAATTTGAATGGAGAGCTGGAAGGAGGAAAGAGGAAGAACGAGAAAAAGTGGAAGTGGGAGGCGAGAAGTTATTTCAACCTGCTTTTTTACTTTACTTCATTCTGGGGGTGGGGTGGCATGTGCGTGCGTGCGTGCGTGCGTGTTATCTGGGCATCCGTCCAGTAATGTATCGTCCTGTATCGTCCTGCTGTTACCGTATCGGTATCGTTTCCGTTTTACGTCCGGCAGCTGAGCCACTGGAAATGAGACTCCAGTGTGGCGGTGCGATCGCCCAAGTCGCAGGGTTTCCTCTCAACTCATTATAAGAATGGTTGAAATTTCCCCCGGGGGGTTTTCAGGAAGAAAATCACTGTCCTTCTTTCGAAAATTCCACTATTGTTTTGTTCCTTTCCCTTCCTAGAAGAGTATTTTTAATACAAATATATTTTTGATCTCGGATTTTTGTCGATCGAACTAACTAACTTTTGCGCGGTGTTGTTGGTCTTAGCGCAACTTGGAAATGGCTTGAGGCAACTGGGCAGTTCCAGAATCACGGTATTACTACCGTGGCGGTATGTCACGGAATCGATATAGCGAAGCACACAAAACCGTTATCGCAATTAAAAAAAATAAAATAAAATAAATAAATAATAGTCATCAATAATCACAATGACTTTTCTGCAGTAACTAAAAAAGCTTCGGAGGGTTGTTATCTCTTAACGTTATATCGCATCAATCACCCCGCGCGCATGGGAGTCTTTCAATTGCCGAACCAACGAGGATCTACAAAGTACTGTGTACGGCTGTTCGAATAATATGCCTGTGCAAATAAATCTACATGAACAGCCTGGCTTCAATCACCCGTTACTAGGCAACCTGGGTTTAGATTGGGTTATTTCCTCTTGGAAAGGAGCTCTTGCCCGGGCCAAATGAGGGTCCCCTGGGGGGGGAACGAAGCTCGCTCGCTTCCTTGCCCCAACACCCAACTTGCCCGTTTTTTCGGTTAGCTCCCACACAAATATTCCGGATTTGGGCCTGGCCGAGGAATACTTTCTTGGATATATGCCGACTTGCTTTGGACCTGGAATGACTTCGGAATAACAGAGTGTAAATTGCTTCGTCTAATCAAAACCCGAAAGAAAAAAAACAGACTCGATTCCAAGAAGATTCGGGTTCCAGGAATACACAAGCGGGGATAGAGATGAAGCACAGTCCCGTCATAGTCGGGTGTAGCCGGGATGTCGCCGGAAGCTAATCTTCGGGACGTGGCAATTGCACCCGTATTTACCAGGTATTTCACGTGCAACTTGCTCTCTGTGCGTAAACTAAACTTGTGGGGCAGTTATTTTTTCACTTTTGTACGTACTGACCCGAGAACGATGATGTCATGGATCACCCGAATATGCGTTATGGAGACCAGTTCTCACAGGCACGGAGTCTTTTCACACCCTAAAATATGAACTCGGGTCTGATGTAAACTGTTCAATCGTTTGGTCTTTCAATGCTTAGTTCAGCCTTGCCGTGATATAGCACTGCACAAAATGATGCAACCATGCTCAGTTCTTTTAATAATAGGTTCAATGGATATTATCTTCTTGGTCCCCTTCAGCCCTGACAGGTTTGTTTATTTAATGCATGTTAATTGGTTGCATGAGGGAAATGCCAGATGCAGTAATAATTCCGCTCCTTTACTTCGTAAATTTTCCAACGTCTGATCGCTCAGCGGCCAAGGGTCTGGAACAAGTGGGCCCTGGCAAACCCGACATTGCCCGCCCTGGGCGACAATCCGCCCAACCGACAATCGCTGACAATATGATATTTTGCCAGCTGATTTTCAATTGAAAGGTCGTTTGGTACTCTGTGTTATATTACGGAAGGGGGTGGGTGTCATGTGGAAGAATGTTGAACTGCTGCTTGCTTGCTGTGTCTGATATTTATTTACGGGTTGCTGCTGATAATATCCCCTTGTTTTTTTACACCAAGCAGGTAACTAGTGTGGTTATACAACTAATGATGAGGGCAGCAAATCATCGACCCCGGACACACCTGTCAAAGAATGAAAATGGCTCAACCCGCTCCGAAAAAAACGTAGATTAATAAAATCTGGGGTTACAGTTGAACGTATCACCTCGTCCAAATTTAAAATAAACAGTCGACATACGCTGCACATAATTACGCCACACGTATTACTACTGCATCTCGATTCAACGTCCTCAACACCAGGGGCAGGGATTAGGGTTGGTCAATGGTCAGAGTTATGTGATAAAATCACTGTCGTCAAAGAGCAGATGGTGTATGTAGTTTTAATGAGGGCATGTCAACGATTTACAGCATATTTAAACCACGCCGAAGATTTTTAGGGCGGAGATTTTAAAACCACGTTCAAGATAAGTTGTCTGTACGCACGAGCAGGATGTGGGCGTGTGTATGTGTGCGCAGTACCTCGGTATTGTATATATACATACACCTTAATAGTCACAGCATAGCGTTATCTTCTTTGACATTTGTCAATGACAAATCGACATATTTCATCTCTTATCTGATGAAGATATATAACTTTTTTCTACCCCCCCCAACCCCCTCCATGGTTTGAACCCATCAGGCTTAAAACTGTCTCTCCGAGTGAAAGAAACTTAGCTCCCGCGCCGGAGAAATCCGCGCACAAGAAGGTCCCGATTTGCAAAAGTCCTCCGAGAGCCCCGTACTACCCTCCGACCGTCGTGTGTGTCGTAGCGCATACATACTTGAGAGGCAGGGGGAGTGGGGGATGTAAAGATCCTTAAGGGGGTTGGGGATTGTGGTATCAAATCTCCGCTCACATAATAACTAACTATATCATAATTTTTTATTTTTTTATATTTTATATTTTATATATATATTTTTTATTCATTATTGGTTCAAAAAAGCTCGCCAGAAGTGGAGGAACCATATGAGATGGAGAGAGGGGGATGGGAAACATCGCTTCACCCCATCGCATATCAAAGCGCCCCCTCTCTCTGTGATTATCCCCAATCCCACCACTCCGATTTCAAACATCTGCCTAAGGTCAAAAAATCCCAAGTTTGCCCTTCCGATTCCCAAATATAGTAGTGGGTATATATAACATGTTTCAGCAGAGCTGAGCAACTGTGAAGGAACGAGCAAACTCAAATGAAATTACACACGAGTCAAAATAACAGCTGGATACTGAACCGTAATTTACAGACGAAACCGATTCTTACACATCATCATAAACCTCCCACCTAATTAATGGCAGAGAGAGAGCAGAGAGAGCAAGAGATAGGTAATAATCATGCGCAAAAGTGCTAGCCTGAGAGACTTGAGGACGCCTGAGCTGAGAGCCGTTAAGAACATTCCCGCCTTTAGGCTTTCGCCCGCATGGTTAAAGCCGCCTCTCATTTGCTGACGCTGCGTGCCTTATCAGCAAGCGACCGGGGGGGCTCGAACAGAAGGTTGTTCTTTTTTTGGGTGCCCCGAATCGGTTCAACCAAGCTTATCGGAGGGGGTTGATTGGCTGGGTGAAAGCTGGGGCCCGGGTCTTTGGAAACAAGCCCGTTCGTTCCCTTGAAGACAGATTGGCCTCTGCGACAGTTCAACTCCGCAAAAGCATTGGTAACCCCCCCACGGAATTTTATTCTGCTTGGAATGGGCCAGAAAAAGCAGAGAGGGGTTGCCGATACTTGTTGCATTCCGGTTCTGTCTGTACGGAGGATGTTGAGAGGCACATACTCTATCGGCATGAACATGTTATCCTCTCCGTCACAGGGTTCAAACGGTGAACAGAAGGCCGGGTGTTGACTAGCTCCAACAGCCGTTTCAATACGTAACTGCTGCCGCCGCCTGGGAGGTGTGGTTGGGGGGGGAGTGAGTTGGACAACCCTTGCGCTTAGGAAGTGCTGATGATGCATAGAACCGCTGCCGGGCGCAGAACGCGGTCGGAGCGTTGCCCCTCTGTAAGAATGAATGATGAAGATTGAGCTCATTTCCATTGTATTGACTTTTTTTTCTAATTTTCAAAACGATAAGATTTTTTTTTTTTCCCCAGTTCCTTCAGATCTAATAATAATCACTCTTATTGTCGCAAAGACTTTTTCATTAAGAAAGTCAATTTCATCATCTAGGTCATGTAGAGAATATTATTTTTTGATATTCTTTTCATTTGATTGTTCAAGCATGAGTTTTAAGGATTTTTTTTATTTTCATTTATTTCTTCATTACACTTGTACGTAGTGAGTGATTATGAAGTTCCATGATGTGAGAATGCGCTCATGCAAGGTGTTAAACCATCCCCTCGCCCGTGAATGTTGCCAGAATTAGCATGGTTTCAGTTGGGGTAAAATGTGAACAAGGATCAGAATGGCATGAGCCAATGGAATCCCCATATGTTAAATTTATATGGGGAGTCTATTGGCTCATTCATGCCCACCGGGAACCTTCTTTCTTCACCACATGAAACGCGTGTAGCTCCTTACCTAGCTAACCCATGGAATCCCTATCCAGACAGCGTGGAAGTCATGAAGGAAGAAGCACGTAAATCCCCAGTCTCTGTTAATAGAACGTATATTCATATCACTGACTAGGTCAATTAGGCCCTTCTAATCCCCTTAATAATACCAGCGGGAGCTGGAAGAAGTCATAGCTGATATACCACCTTTTGAAAAATCAGCTACATCCTGAGCTTCTATTCTCAATCTACCCCCTGATCTTGATATCAAGAGCCCCTATGCTCCATTCAGTCTATATATCTCAGAGAAAGACTTTTGAGCTATCTCCAATTCAACCAATGCCTGCACCCAAATTCAAAAGGAAAAAGGGTCAAATAAACATGCTAAATACTGGAAATCAACTACTCCTGCTGAGATCAAGGTCTTCTTTGACATATTAATCTATATGGGAGTATGTGATTCTCAGAGAATTGATCTCTATTGAAGGAATGATATTGAGCAAGGATCTATCTGTTCACCTCAATTCCATATGCTGTTATATAAATTTGAGCAGCCAAAGAGACATGTTCAATATCTGGCCCTCAGCAGTCTCAAAAAGAAAAGAAATGATGGTATAAGCTTGGATCTTTGGTCTTTAGCTTTCATACTGCTTGTAGGAGTTTCTATATTCCTGATTTCAATTTTTCTTTAGATGAGATAAATGATTTGCATCTTTGGTAGCAGCCTACTCATCTATAAATGCCTAATAAGTGTGATATTAAGACTCTCTATACTAGCTCCTTGCCCTCACACTGTTTATCTCACACTGCTTACCACTTACTAAAACACTTACCTTCACACTGCTTATTAAAGCACTTAAGAATCAGTATCTTCTAGAGAATCAGCATTATTTTAAGATTTAGCACTTGGAATCAGCACTTTTTGAAGAATAAAATCAGTATTTTATATGAAGAATCAAATCACTGCATTATTAATTCTTTATTTTATAAAAGATTAGAGATAAAATTTATTATTATTCATTTATATATATAAATATTCTGAATTTTAAAGTTTTTTCAAAAGATTCAGTGATTAGCTACTATTCAATTCTAAATATATATTTTATTTATTATTATTCTTTTCTCTTTATAGCACTCATAGCGTCTACATATTTATTCTCTTATAATCTTAGTTATAGAGCTTTTTATATTTTCTTTTAATATTTAATTCATTTATTTTAATGTTCTTATAGTTTCTAATCACTCTAATAGAGATTGCTCATTAAGTCTACAACAAAGAGTTCAAAATATAATTTACAAACTGACATTTTACATGCAACATTTAATGAAAAAACATATATAGAAGAAACTCTCTATAAACAATCATCAAATCTAACTTTAGAAAGAAATACTGAAGTATCTATTACATCAGTTGATAAAAAAATTCAAATAGTTTAACAAGAACAAGAACATCAAAAGATATATAAAAAAAATTCTTAGAACTACAATAAGTTAATACTTTTAGTACAGAACTTTAAATCTTTAAAAGTAAGCAGTGCAGAGCAGAGTCAACAGATAATACTATTAGTGTTAATTTCACTTCTTTCAAGTTTTATTTTATATCAATTCAAATCTTTCTAATGAGTTTAAAACAAAAAGTTTTAAGAAACTAGAAAACTTTATCTTTTTAAGTTTTATTTTCTATGTTTATCAAAGATATTACTTTGAAAATGATAATGAATATAAGATTTTTGAAGTAGCAATATATTTTGATATTAAACTATAATAAAAATAATAATAATACTATATTAATTTGAAGATATTGATTATCTGAGATGAATTCTATAACTGAATTCATATTAAGATCATTGACTCAGATAATACAAGTCAGAACTATAAGTTGAAATATTAAATATTAAGATAATCTGAAGATCAAACTATTTATGACTTTGTATTCATTCTTCAGTTAATTGAAAGTCATTTTCTAGAGAAATACAGTGATTATCAATGAAAGATATATCTATTTAACAAGATTTTATTCTATCTTTATATAGAATTTGAGAGATATACAGTCAAGCTATGCGATCTCCTCTATGATACTTTTATCATAAAACTGAGTATTATGAAGAATAACATTTCAAAAGCTATCATATTAGTATGCACAACTGTATAATAAAAAAGTACTCTTCATAGAAAAGATTCACATGATGATATATTAATAGTATTTAAAAAAAAAAGTTAGAAATATAAGAAATATTCTAATATCTGATGTGATATTCATTGAAGCTTTATATATTTTAATGTAGATTACAAGACTTAGAAGAATAAATTCTTTAAAGATAAATTCTCATCTTCAAAGTTTTTATTAAAATTTTCTTTTAAATCAAGTTCTAAAGAGATAAAAAATAAATAAAAAATATCATTTATACTATAATAATAACTTTTAATGTACTTAAAAGTCAGTTATCATTAAGTCTATTCTTTCTTCTTTCTGTTCAAATTTTAACAATTATAAAAGATATATTAATTCTTATTTTTATAAATTTTAAATTTTAAATAAGTTTTATTAGTAAATTCTGAATTAAATTATATAAATTATAATTAACAAAATATATATTATACAAAATAGAGAGATTTAATAATTATTAAATACATTTATTTAAAATTATTAATTTAAAGATAAAAGTCTTAGATAGTAAGAAAACTATAATTAAAGAATTTTATTTCTTTTATATTATTAAACTTTCAGAATATAATATAATACTAGAATTTTATTAACTCAAATAACTCAATTTTCTCATTAATTAAAAAGATGAAGAATTTTATTTTCATCAAAAATCAAATAATTAAGAAATAGCTCTGAGTGTAATAGATGCTATTAATAAATTACTTATTGATATTTCTGACTATGTACTTATAATAGTATATATATCAATTTCACAAATTTCTAAGTTTTTTATCAAAATTTCTGAGAACTTTATATTTATTTTCAGACGTTATACTGAGAGTTTTCAGATCTTTGTACAGATCTTTAAGTCTTTTTCTGAAATTTTAATACTTTTAGAAGACAGTTTACTTATAAATACAATATTTTTTAATAATTTACCTAACTATCTCTGATCATATATGCATCTTTTCTCTGAAAAAAGTGTATTTATTGTATCTGTATCTGATGCAGAGTATTCAATCAATTTTAAGAAATAAGTCAGACTCTCATTCATGTTTATCTATAATTTCTCTGAAATAAAGCTAAAAACTCTTTAAAATTACTTCAATAATATGTTGAAAAGAGGCTAAATATCTTCTTCTCAGAGCTCTGCAGATGCTCTCATTCTTTTTATTTTAATGAAGAATGAAGATCTATAATTTTATATAAATTATAAAAATCTAAATTATCTTACAATCAAAAATAAATATTCATTATCTATTATGAGTAAGATACTAGATAGACTCTCTGAAGTACAAGTTTTCTCTAATATTAATCTTAAAGATGCTTATTACAGAATATACATTTGATATAGTGATAGATGAAAAATAGTATTTCATATATTATATAATTACTTTGAGTATAATATTATATTTTTTAGCTTATAAATATTTTTATTATCTTTTAAATTTATTTAAACTATACTTTAGTAGATTTTCTTGATATATACTATATGATTTATCTAGATGATATTTTTATCTATTCAAACTCAATAAATAAGTATAATATGCATATATAAAAGATATTTAAACATTTAGATCATATAAATCTATTTATAAAATATATTAAATTTGAGTTTATCAAAAATAAAACCTTTTTTTAAGGTTCATTATTAGATTTCAGAGTATTAAAATAAAATTAAATTGAGTAATAATTATTACAGAATAATTAATCTCAACTAATATTAAAAAAATTTAAATTTTCTTAAGATTTATAAATATTTATTATCATTTTATTAAAAACTACTTTAAAATTACAAAGTCTCTCTTTGATATTATAAAAACTCTAAAAAAAAAAAAAATAAAAGTCATAAATCATATAAATTAAAAATATACAATATATCTTTGACAGTTTAAAATAATACTTCATACAGACTTTTTTACTCACTTATTTTGACTTAAGTCAAGAAACTCAGATTAAATCTGATACTTCTACAGTAGCAGTAACTATTATTATCTTTTAAAAATATAATAATAATTAATAATATTCAATTATATTCTAATCTCATAAGCTTTTAAATATAAAAATATAATATGATATTTATAATAAAAAACTTCATGCAATTGTTATATCTTTTAAGAATTGATATTATTATTTGAAAGAGAGTTAATACTTAATTTTTGTCTATTCTGATCATATTAATCTTTAGTATTTTATAATAATTAAAATACTAAATTGATGTCAGTCTATATAAGTAGAAGCACTATTAGTATATAATTTCATTCTGTATCACTACTCAGATAAATAAAACTCAGCTAATGAACTTAATTATTATACAGATTATATTAACTCTTTTCATGATAAGATTATACTTTATATCTTACAACAGAAGTTCTATCATAGTATCAAACAGAATTGAGAATTTAACTCTTATAAAAAACTTACAATTCTTATTAACTGCATACAAATCTATGATCAAAAGTATATACTTCATATAAAATCTCTTAAAATTAATACTCTGAGCTCTAAGTCTCTCTCAAATCTCACTCTGAATACAAATTCTCTCTTATCATTGCATTAGATGCTTATTTACAAGTTCACATCATACTCATTAAAATCACTCAATATGCTGATCAGAAAATTTTTAAGAAAAAAAATTTAGTTTTAAAGATATATATTAGAAATTGAGATACTTTTAAACTACTAATTAATAATACTATAGTCTTTGAATCAGTATATACAGATATATCAAAGTCTCTCATCTCTCTTCTTATTAAAATATAGAACTTAGACTTCTTTGCAATAGTAAAAAAGTAGAAGATAAAAGATAAAGATATAATTTTGAATAGTGATATATTCTAAACTATTTCAAAAGATAGTTTATTTTAAATAAATAATATAGTCTATATTTTATTACAACAAGTGTTACAGCGCAGCTATTTCTATGTAAATTAAAATTGATTCACTTTACTATACTCTTAAGATTAATTCATTCTGACTTTAATCATATTCAGTTACTCATATTAATCTAATCTGATCTTCAATTATTTTTATATATTTAGCTATTTATTTATTCTTTATTCTAATTCTCAGTTTAGTATTATTATCGTAGCTATCTAGTTAGATAGATAAATTAAAGCTATTGTTTTATTATTATTTTGACTCTAGTTGAGCTATGACAACAAGCACTGATTAAAAAAAAATAATTCATATTAATTATGATAACTCACAAGAGAATCATTTTGATATAAAATGATCTGTTTAATATGTTCAAAGTAAGTACTATTGATATAATCTTACTCAGAATATCACTAAACATGTTTATAATTATAATACTTATCAGAGGATGAAAGTATGCTGCTACAAACAATATAATGAACTTGATTCAATTTAACATCAATTCATGATAAATCATTACTATAAACTTTATTACTAATCTTCTGATCATCATCTGATTAGATAATATCTATGATACAATTCTTATATTAGTTAATATATTAATCAAATATATTTTGTATATTTCATATATAAAAAAATATTACTGCAGAAGATCTTGTAAATATTATCTATACTCATATTTATAACATCTTTAATATCTTTAAAAATTAAATTTCAAACAAAAAAGCTCTTTTTATAAGTTAATACTAATTAACTTTTTATTATTTATTTGAATTAAATAAAGACTATTCATAGTCTTTCATTCACAAATAAATAATTAAACTAAATATCAAAATCAAATACTAGAGTATTATCTTCAATGCTTTATGAATTTTCATCAGAATGACTGAGATAGATGATTACATTTAGTGCAGTTTATCTATAATAATTTATGACATAGCTCAATCAATGAAGTTTCAGCTTATGTACTTTTTGACTACAGATTTATTCTTCAAATCAATGTCAGTAATTCACTTTATTCAAACTCAATTAAGACAATTGACCAGGTAAAAAAAATATAAGTAATATAGAAAAAAATTCAAAAATAGCTAGAGAAGATTAAAACTATATAAAAGATATACTATGACTTTAAACATAGTATAGAATATTTTTATATAAAGAACTGAATGCTTCTTAAAGTGAAGAACTTCTGCATACTCTGTCTTACTAAAAAATTAAATCATAAATTTATTGACTCTTTTTAAATCATTAAATTTTAAAATATATAGATATATAAACTCTCTTTTTTATACTCAATATATAATATTCACTTTATCTTTCATATTTTACTACTTGAACTCTATAAAATAAGAAATGATATTACTTCATCTTCAGCATCAAATCTATTAAATAATGAAAAAGAATTTCAAGTTGAGAAAATATTAAAGAAAAAAAAATACTGAGATAAAAAACAATACTATATATATTAAAGAAGTTATAAATCTTCTAATAATATATGAGAATCTGTTAAAAATATTCAAAAAACTGAGGTATTTGATATTTTGAACAATAGAAATCATAGTGATAAGTATACTAAACTTATTTTGAAAAGTATACTAAGCAGTAATTCTTTTTCATACATGTACTTTTTTCACTATTTTTTATTAAATGAAGGTTTTTTTTTTTTTCATATAATTTTAATAAAATAAACAAGGTATTAAAAATTATTAAGTTTTCAGAAAAAATTTATTTCACTATCATCTAAACAAGTTAAGATACTCAGATACATATCTATAGTTCTCTTTAACTTAATTTCTATTTATAATCATCACAGTCATCATATACTGCTCAGACACAGTAATTATTCTCTTCTCAATCTCAATACTTCTCTCTTCAAACTTAATACTTTTCTTATCAGTCAACTCAGAGTTCTTTATTTTACATACAACTTTTTTCTCTATATTCTTTCACTTCTTATTCTTAAAAAATACTATCAGTGCATCAGCAGTCTCAATCTAATACTAAGTATAATAAGCAACATCAATTAAAATAGTAGTATAAGCTTTCACTGAATGAGCAGCATGAAAAGAAAGCTGTAAACACTGCTATCAGATACAGTAGCTTGATTTAATAATATGAAATCTTCATTGATCTCACTTACTTTGCAAAAAATAAAAAGCTCTGAAGAATAAATAATCAACTTAACTTAGAAGAGAGAGCAAGTTAGATAAGTAATAATTAGTTATCATACTGATAGTGCAAAGATTTCTCTGACATAGTAGCTAAAGACATACTATATTCATTCAGATACACAGCTTATATATAAGATAACAAGAATCATAGCACTTATTACAGTGAGAATAATAACATATCATAGATAAATTACTCAGCTTGAGCAAACATTACTTACAGAGAATATCTTTAAAATAAAGTAAGTTATATAATCAATAATCATAAACTATAACTCAGTATATTCATCAACTGTCATCATACACATGATGATGTTAAATGCACTAAAAACAGAAGAGATTATTCAAAAAATACAGAGATAGATTTTGTTATATTAACAGAGATAAAAAAGAAATAAAAAAGACTTTATAATTAAAGACAGCCGTAACTGCAAGAAATATATAATAATTATAATTATAAAATTGTAAAGAAAGAAAAATTCAGAGAATAAAAAAATTTTTCTCTCTTCATTCTTATAGTAATAAATGTTATTATGACAATTATCTCATGCAATCAGTCTCTAAATATTATTAAATAAATATTATAAATATTATTCACTATATTAATAAATATTTTATGTTCACATCTTATTTCTATATTAATAAATATCTCATATCTACATATATTCAAAATAATCATTTTCTAGAGCTGCTGAGATCAGTATTTATGAAAGAAGAAATAATTATGATATTAATACTCTTTATACTAGCTTCTTACTCTTACATTGCTTATCTCATACTGCTTATCATACTACTTACTAAATCACTTATTTTCACACTGCTTATTAAAGTACTTTAGAATCAACATCTTCTAAAGAATCAGTATCATTTTAAGATTTAGTATTTAAAATCAATACAGATCAATATTTTTTAAAAATCAGTTTTTTAGAATTAACACTTTACAAAGAATCAAATTATTATATTATTAATTTTTTATTTTATGAAAAATTAAAAATAAAATCTATTACTACTTATTTATATATATAAATACTCTGAATTCTCAAAATTTCTTCAAAAAATTTAGTAATTAGCTACTATTCAATTCTATATATACATATTTTATTTATTACTATTCTCTTCTCTCTATAGCACTCACTACATCTATACATCTACTCTATTATAATTCTAGTTATAGAGCTTCTGATACTTTCTTTTAACACTTAGTTCATTTATTTTAAATATTCTCACAATTTAATTTAATAAATAAAAAAAATAATTATTTAAATATAAAAATTTACAACTATTATAAAATATATAAATTATTAATTATTACTACTATTATCAAACTATTAAATAATTTTTTTTAAAAATTTAATAAGTAATTCTCTAAATAAGAAAAAGTAATATAATTAATTAATTAATATTTAATTGATATTTAAATAATTTATACTTTAATTTTATTATCAAATAATTTTTTAATTATTTACTTTAACTTATATTAATATTTTTTATTTTCATCTTTTATTTTTTATTTTTTTTTATTTTTTTTTTTTTAATAAATTCATTTTTAATATATTAAAAGTATTAAAGCTATATTCAATAGTATACTCATTATAAATAATAAATAATTTTATATTAAAATCTTATTTTAGATGAATATTATATAAATTAAATAATATTTTTTGTTGTTAAAATTATCTATAAATATTAAAAAATACTTTTATATTTAACTTAGTAGTTATATTAATACATTATTTGTGTATTTATTTTTTTTTTTTTAAAAAAAAAATTTATATATTTAAATATCTATTAAAAAGTTTACCTTATTTTTTAAATTAAAGATTTTCATGCTCAACTTTCTTAATATTTAATTATAATAGTTAACACTTATATCTGCGGAATGATAAAAAATTATTTACTGCCTTTGTTTCCGCATCCATTTCAACGCCCATTCTACCAGCAACCCCAGATCTTCCGAAGTCTGGAGCACCTTTGCAAGCTTTTCACTGAGCTTCCATACTTTCCCTTGAGAAGCAGGGGTGTCCGGTTGCTCATTATTGTCCCGATCACACATCCCAGAAACCCGCGAGACTGTGATATTACCATTGGACCCGATATCAACGTTAATTGTGACTGTCTTTGGATTGTCAATTGCATTGGGACCCTCGTTTGGCGCGTTAAATAATAGCATTAAAGATGGTGGTGCTGATATTGGTGTTCGCAAGGAAATATCTATTTTCTTATCATTGATTATGGTAGGGATGTTGGAAGGCATAGCAAATGGAGAAGCAGTACCGGTCTGTTGATCACTCCCCTGAATTGAATCGCCGTGGAGCATTGAATCAAGTCTGGATATCGTGGGACTTATATTGCTAATTACTGTGACGTCTGACTTACCTGTATGGGTCGTGGAAGGGGGATCCATGGGGTTGGTGGAGTGACATTTGTCGGGAGCGCCAACGTCGTTGGTTGGAGTGGTAGTAAATGCCTTTTGAAGAAGGCTAGAGAGCAGTGCATATTGCCGCAAGATCTAAACATGGCTGTGAGCAGTCTGACATGGAAGATTGGTAGATTGCAAAGAAATTAAAAATGCGCAAAACGCTTGCATCCACTCACAGGAAGAATATCAGCCAACTGCCGCGGATGAGAAAACGGTAGGTCACGAATGGTCCGTCCAACGATATGCTCGAAGGGGTGGAAAGTGTAGGTATGTACGTGTTTTTCAGGATGACCGTTGGCGTCGAAGCCGTAAACAACTTTTTTATGGATTCTTTCGTTGGATACTGGGTAACCATTTTCACTGTTACTAAATTCTGGCGAAAAGCTATTCGGCAGGGGCACCACAAGCCCATCATATGTAGCAGGTTTGGGCTCGGGTGGCATGTTCATTCCGAGCAGCCTGTATATCTCCGCCGCTGCAATTATAGGAATGTCAATCGGGGGCTCCAACCGTGCAACGAAGCGCCGGTTCGGTGTTGTAGTGCCCAAGGCTGTAGAATTGAGAGAGACGTCATTCGGGTTACTAACGAGAGTGGCTGGAGGATCGATCCAGTTAATTAACAGAATGTCAGTGTCGTTTTCGTTCACTGCAGAAGAAGATTCCCCTGAATCCATAGTCGTAAATAATTGGGACGCGACCCATTCTTTTGACACTCTCAATGATGGATAACCTTCTTCACACTCAATCATTGTGCTCCAGGTTTTGTGTTTCTCCAGATCGGATGAAACTTTGTCGTCTTTAGAGAATTGATCTATACTCATTGCGTCTGGGACATTCCTCGGTTGTGAGTCTAGCGTTCTTCTTTGTTCAACCCAATACCGAATACTCAAGCCAATCCTTCTGTCCTGATGGAGGACGGGCTGTCCCACGTGTCCTGTGCAAACATGCTCCCAATGGCCCTTCCCTGGGTATCGTTGAATTTCGCCTTGCCATACTCGGTTTAAACTTTCGTACAGTCCTTCCACTGCTTCAAAGCAATTGACATCCCGACTTAGTTGATCCAACTTGGCTAATCTATGCAAGTTTGCATGGAAAGCGTCGATCTTTTTCCAAGGCTTTTCTTCAGGATTTCCCGCAGTTTGGATCAAGTCCCGTTTAAGAACCGCAGTGGCCCCCACCCTTCTTTCTCCCTCCACCCCACTGGGGGTAGTATACTTCAGGCTGACATCCTTAACATTTTCCGTCCCATCTTCAAACTGGATCTCCAAGTCCACAAAATTCCCAGCAATATTTAGATCGTTGTCTTGCCACATGCATTCGAACCCTTCAAACTTCCCCAGCCTCTCCACACCTTCGCGACATACTCCACGTCCAGAAACACGCGTTCTGAGAAGTCGAATCACTTCTTCCATCCGTCGAGCTTTCTCCACGTCGGTGTCCCTTGGACCTCCCATGCCTAAATTCGACATCCCTACTGAATGGATGCCACTCTCGTTGATTCCAGGTCCAGCCAACGGATCATTCCCTGCAGGAGATGGTGAGATGCCACCTAAGCCAAGAGCTAACAATGCTGATGGTGAGCTGAATATAGTAGGATCATCCAATGATGCTGGAGCAGCCATTGGGGTCGGATATTGGTGAGAGGACACACTTGGCTGATGGCCATGACCAGAAACGGAAGGTGTTTTAATGGACGGAGACTTGTGAGAAAGAGGGCGACCCATAGGCACCGCTGATGGGTAAGGCGATGATGTTGGGTGAGGTGTCTGCCCAGGGTTCTGCTTGGATGAAGGAGTAGCCATTGGTGAAATGTCCGTTCAATATGTTGGTTGCAAGGGAACGAATGTTTGAGTTGATATGGCTGCACCACACTTTATTGAAGGTGTCCGTATATTTTCAATAGGGAGTCACAGGCAGCTGTAGGACAGACTACAGATGCAAAGCCCAAGCTCGATTAACTCTCAAAGAGTATAGGTCCTAAGCAGCTGCAGAGAGGAAGCATCAACGCAGCGAGATTTTGGGGTATTTATTAAGCTCAGACAGTGCCGAAACCAATCTACGAAACCATTTTTAGGTCTTCAGCAGAAGCAGGGATGCGCAAAGAACTATCGAAGTTGCCTTGTCTTGTGCACCCTTAACCATTTGATCTTTGTTGATGTTGAAAGATTATCGATTCGTTAGGAGTCAAGTTCTTACTAGCTGGAAGCTTGCCAGATGAACGCATAAATAGTCACGTGCTCTCCGCCCTGGCAAAAATTTCCCAAGCTTTGAAGCTCGAAAATAAACACCGTTCATCAACTCGAGGCTATATACCTACCTAACTCCCGATACGGCGTCAACACGACGTGTAAATTTAATCAATTATGACCCCTATTATGTGTGGTGCTCTCCGTGCGTTGATAAATCCAATACGTCTTCACTTTCGGTCTTTAACGACCCTCCAGGGAAATCCACATATTGTATGTCGATATTAACCCAAGTTCCCAAGCATCCGTTGGAAGACATGATATACTGAGAATACGGATTCTAATTCGTTTCTGAAGTTTGTTTTCCCAACTGAAAGATCCCCGAATGGGTACATTCTCTCTCTTTTACCAACAGATCCTACCAACCCCGAGCTTGCAATCGGTGTAACTTCTAAACTGCCACCCACTACCGATTCCTTTAAAGAAAACCCGGCATTCCTAAAGACTCTTCAATCTGTTATTTCAGAACATGCACATGAAGACCCTGACATAATATCGCAGGGGCGAGTCATGGCTTTCACTTCTGGAGCAAATATCGACTCCGGAGGCATGGTTTTCTCCGAAACAAGACATAGTTTCCGGCGAGGTCCTGGTGCTACTGGTTTAAGGGAAAATCCTCCCAGCGGCCCAAATGTTAAAGATAGTCCAAGTTCTGGTGGCAGGGGTGGTTGGATACACATTTCAGATACCAGAAATCCTCCGGAGTATGGCAGGATCGCTTGGTAGGACATACAGCGCAATACCTATCTCGTCTTGTCACATTAATTATTTTATAGGCCAGAGGATATATTTGGCAGTCTGGAAATTGATGCGAATGGAAATATTGAAGGAAATTACCAGCCCAGCGGTATGTGAAGGAATCTTGTCTGGAGATACCTCTTTTTATTTTCAGCAAAGCTGTTTTCACTAAGTCGCAGTTTTAGGAACCTACCGAATCATCACGCGGAATGGAATGTAAGTAATACTGCTTCGTGAAATAAACTATTGATGACTGAAATTGCGTGCAGCCTCGGTCTAAGTACATACCTCCGCGAGAAGCTCATTCAACGTCTTCGTTCAGCGGAAAGCAATTCATAAGGCCACTGGCTACTACATATGAGGCAATTCTACTCCTGTTTATATGTACGTCGTACCCCAAGGTACTCTTAAGCTAATCGGTAAGTGGTTCATGTAAGCCGTCGAGTTTACAAAATGTAGCTAAAATACTTCAAATCGCTGCATCTTGAATTGACTGCTTCGCTCGAAATTTATATGCTCTGCATGACATATTGCCAGTCTCCCTTTCGACGAGCCTCTCTATGCTGGCAGTTTGAAGCTTTTACCTTATCCTTTCTGGGTAATATTCCTGAGATTGCATATGGACCCATGCCCAGGCCGGAGAAAAGGCAACAGTTTGGATTCCTGCTATGATGATTACATATACCAAGAGAGAGAAGGCAAATGAAATGGAAGAGGATGTTAAGATGGGGAGGTAACGAATGAATATTGCCCCCAAAATTCGAAAGAGGGCAAGTGATATGGGATCTCTTTACCGAGCATGAAACTAAATCCGATACCATTTTTAGTCTTAATAAACTAAGTAAAGAGAAACAGATGAAAGCATTAAAAATGAAGAACAAACGCATTCAAAGACAGCAGAATAAACCACGCAACCCCGTTCTCTCGCTCGTGGGAATTAGGCATCGTCCAGCTGAACAGACTTTCAAATTAGAGTAGCTAAGTCTTGGTAGATCAACCTCAATTTTCTCTTTTAACTCTGTTTTGAGAGTCCTATGATCCCATACAATTCGGGCATTTCACGGGACGAGCTTCATACGCCGTAGACTTTTCGCATTCTGGATAGCATTGACGTGGAAGGATAGGATCTGATGTCCGACAACCGCACAACCACATCAACAAGGATTACGCAAAGTGTATATAGGATGACTACGGCTGGGCCGGAGTATTCATATTGATGGGTGGAAAATAAAAATGAAGTGAGGTAGCTAGTTTCTTTGAAGGATTAGAGGAAATTATTTGCAAATTTGAAGGATGGATGATGATTTCTTGGTGGAGAGTTGCAAGATAGAGAGAGAGAGCCACCATAGTTTATATAATGCCTAGAGAGGCATTTGGTTATTAGACATTGATGAACACAAGTGAAATGTGAATCACAGATTTAGTTTGACCACTCAAAATTCAACGAAGGAAAAAGTTTAGGGGATTGTTGATGTGAATAAAGTTCAGGGCATAGTTACAGAAGGAAGACAAACAAAAATAGAAACTTGAAAAAGTGAGGAGGTGAATACATCAACAAGCTTTCAAAAATGAGAGGTGGGGATGAATCACCATCAGTTTTGAAATTTGGATTTTATCTCTTGTTTTAGTGACTGCAAGCTTCTACATTCTGTGCTGTCTGCCCACCTTCATGGAGTATGAATCTGAAGAATCAATGACCATTTTCACGATGCCACAGCCATTCTCCATAGGAGATCAAGGAAAACACATGATACAGAGGCATAACTATATCGTGACGCCATAGGTTTGAAGAAAACATGAAGATGATCAGGTTTTGACCGTAGCATGCAAAACAGTATGTGGCAGTAGCCATTCGAGTGGTATCTGAGTAAGTAAACATGGTGAGAGAATAAAACAGATGGAAAGTCAGGCAAAATCTTCCAGCGTCGCTATTACTTAAAGAAACTTGTAATTCGTTGTGTCCCATGCGTTGTTCCTTTCGACTCCCCCTTTTTAAGAGTGGACCCATTGCTTGTAGCGCTCCTCATTTTCTTATTTCCACCGCCTGGTTTTGTAGGTGAACGGTAAGGATCTCCTCCAGGGGTGGGCTGCGACGATTCTGGTTTCTTTATTTTTGGTGATTTCGTGGTAATGTCAGCACCAGCAGGTTCTGGTGATGTTTGTTTGCGTTTAACCGCTACCGATTGTGGAACTGAATCAATACCGATCTCTGATTTCTGGACGGTAGAATTTGCTTCCTCTTTGCTTCCTGCTTTTTTCTTATTGACCTTGGCACTTTCGTCAAATTTTGAAGCGCTCCTTGTTTGCTGACCTTCAACCCTAGCTGTACTGCAATCTTGGGACAGTGTTTCAATTTTGAATTTGCTGGCTTTGCTGGAGGCTGCAAAAAAGTTTGCGATGTTGTTTTTATTTTCCTTACTATTTACCGGAATAATGAAGTCTGGGGAGTTGTTTCCAACTTTCCCTACCTCTTTACTGACAGGATAGCACTCAAGCTTCCCCTCGTACGGTTTGAGGATCGACTGGAGTTCCTTTGACCAGGTTACGCGGTGGGGGTCAAGCCACGTAGCCATTTCTGGACTGCCAGAGTCAAGGATAACGGGCATCCGATCGTGAAGAAACTTAAGATAGGCATTCGAGCTGGTGGTGATTATGGTGTATGTGTAAAGTTTCTCGTCAGAGCCTGTCATTGATTGTCAGAAAACAATGTTACCACGAATGACGCTTCGCAATGGCGACCATCGCAAATATCAAATACCATATTACAACACACAGACACAAAGACACGCACCTTCGTACTGAACGCAATCCCAGAGGCCAGCAAAACACATCAACTCTCCATCTTTTCGCCGAATGTAATGAGGGACTCTCTCCTTCCCACCAGGTCCCTTCTTCAACCATTCGTAAAACCCCTGGCAAATTACAACACATCGCTTCTTTCTCTTCATAGATGTCCACATTCCCCTATCCTCGATTAGCGAGTCATCACGACAATTGATCGTTTTAAGCATCGAGCCGTAGTCTGGTGATCTCTTGGTCCACCACGGGATTAAACCCCATTTCATGCCCTGGAGTCTGTAATGCGTCCTGCGTTTTGCTGCCTCCGCAGGTTCAACATTTTCGTCGTTGCCCTCCACTAGCTCATTGTTACCAGTATCATCTTGTGAGTCCACTCCGCCTTGGTCAGACGTTTCAGCACGATAAACCGCACCGTAATTCCCAGGCGCAAAATTGTACGTTTCCCTCACGTCATCGTCATCTGCTGTCTCATCAACTGGTTGCCCATGCTGCTGCAACTGGTTTCGGATGAACGCAAGGCGCTATGACAGCACTACTATTAGACATGAGAGGGAAAGATAAAGAGATAACACTACGAAGGACAGCGGGGTTACATACAATGCCCATAGCGTACCGGCCACACATCTTGAATATGGCTGTGTTTTCTTGTATCACCATAAGTGGAGCATTGGCAGACGTTGTATTGGTTTGGAATCGGCCCTGGTAGATGACATGCGCCAAGACGTCATTGCCTTGAGTGGAGCGGAGTGGAACCCGAAGCTTGGACCAGTTCGCCAAGAACTAGCAAACCGAGCAAACAACGCGAAACCCTATTCCAACTTCATCCTGCAGTAAAAAATCGCTTCCATCGATTTACTGCGGTATATCTATCTCTATTAATTCAAGCCATTGATGTACACCGGCCGTGGAACGCCTTTCGAACATATTATATTGATCGATATTGCGAAACGGGTTTTACATCATCTCTCCTATCAGTCATGTTCGGGCGAGTGGCCCGGCGCCTAGGAACCTCCGCACCTCTCCGGCCACCACATACCCCTGCATCTGCAGTACGATTACTCTGCAGCACACCTCGATACACGTATAGACCTCGATTACACTCATCCTCGAATCTTCAATTAGCGCTCAACACGTCTACACAAGGCCGTTTAAATAGCACATCCGCGTTCCAAAAATTCAACCGGAATTACAAAGAAGCGTGGAGTAGAATATGGCAAACGAACCCTATTGGCTTCCCGCTCACTGTATTGTTCGTGGCGGTAAATGCAGGGCTACTTGTATACGTCATATATGACAGAGTTACTCGGATAGACCCATATCTTAGCAGATTTCCACCGGAGGTGGCTGCGCCCTTGCGCGAAGCCCTTCGTCGTTCAGAGATCCGGCCTGATCCTATCTTGGCACTGCAAAAGTTCAGGGAGGCACTTATTGTTGCAGAACATGTTAAGATGCACCCGTTTTCGGACGAGGTCCTTGGCATCAGAATCGCTGCAGCCGAGATGCTAGAGAAAAATGGGCTAGTGAAGGCATCCATTGACATGCTTGAGAAAGCGCTAGCAGACTGCAAGGAATGGGTAGTTAATGGAAGGAGGAGGCAAATGATACTTGATAAGCAAAGGGCGAAAAAGACTGCTACTGAACCCGCTGACCCTGAAGCTGTGGAGGCAGAGAAAGAAGCGCGCGAGAAGGAAAGAATTGAGGAGAAGCTTCGCGACCAGGTTATGAAAAAAATCATTGGCATCAAAATTAAACTAGCAGACCTATACTCGAGTAACTCCGTGCTAGATATGGACAAAGCAGAGAACTCCCTTATTGGCGCAGTCAACGAGAGCGCTGGCGAGGTCAGACGGCGTAGAGAATTGAATCTGCCAGTATCGCGTAACGATGGCGGTGATTACGTTAATCTCACGGAGATAGCTGCGTCATGCAATGACCTGGCTGATTTATATGTTAAAAGAGGGAAAAACAATCTTGCAGCAACCTTGTACATGCAAAGTCTAGGGTTGATTAAGGAGGAGGAGGGCCAATCGACAACATGCGCGCAGGTTGTTCTCCTTAACAACATATCTTCCCAGATGGCGGAGGAAGCTCAGAAGGTAACCAGCAAAACACCCTCGATACCTAAGAGAGCCGGCCCTCCCATATCTCGACCGGAGTTGCTCGATGCTGCATCACAGTGGGCAAAGAAGGCGCTGGATGTTGCAGCACATATCAAACCGGCAGTCCGTACTGAAGAATGCGATCAATCATGTCAAGTAGCACTGTATAACCTAGGTGAAATAGCAGAGATGCAGGAAAATTTCGTCGAGGCACGAAAGTATTATGAGGAGGCAAGGAATCTAGCCACCAAAATTCAATTTGAGGAAGGAATTGAGGCAGCAAGTGATGCTATAAAAAGGCTTGAAAAATATAAATAGAACTTCTCTCCCCTTCAGAATGGTTTTGGGAGCATGTACAATATAAATCTGCATTTGAATGAACAGGCATAATACCACGGCGTATTGTTTCCCCTGAATCATTATTTCGATCACACGGCCTCGCTGCAGAGTTGCTTTTCATCGCAACTGGGAACCGAACCACCTGGTTTCAAGGCTTGTGGCAAAGTTCCCGCCGCCTTTTATGTTATATGGAGCAGTAAATATCTCATCTATTTCTAATCCCCATATGTATCATGTAGTAAAGAAATGCGGCTCCTGCTATCAACATCAGAAAAATAGAAATGCAATTAAGATAGCTTCTGGGACGCGAAGCACAAAAAAAGTTTTAGTTGAGAAATTTTAGTTTAATATTGAACAAAATCATAAATAAAATAACATACGAAAGCCCGGATTCGCTGGTGGTCACCCACCCAACTACTAACAGGCCGGCGAGTGGCTTGAGTACGGCTGAGCGGACGGGAAGCCCTATTTTCCACTCCCTATGTTCGTATGTGATAGGTGATACCTTGTTAGAGATAATTATGATTTCCGCGTATCGGGGTTTCAGCTGGGCGGCCAGACGACTAAACATAAAATGAAAAGCGGGAAATAAAGGGGGTGGAGGGCGTATTCAGGGGCCGGTGAACAGAGTGGTGGATGGGAGGAGACACTCTTGGAAGGGGAAAAGGCTGGTTAGACAGCGAGTGTCTAGCATTGATCTTGCTCATTGGAATAAAACATTGATGGAAAGGTTACGTTTAAGAATCGGAGACTGGAAGAGGTATATGATGGGATAAGCCACGAATGGGGAGCCACAGGGAATAACTTGTAATAACTAAGCTACCAAATATTGAGAAAACTCCATATGTTTATAAAGACAAAACAAGACCAAAGAAGACCAAAGAAAGTGGACAGATGCAGAGCCAGAATGAACTTGATGAAAAGTTAATATTTTTGGCAAGTTAATAGAGCAAAGCTTGAGTGATTTCAAACAGTGGCTTGGAGTATCCTTTGATTTGGCACAGAAGGTGTTGTTTCTCGACAAGAATTAACTTCATCCCTTCTTTTTTTTTTTTTTTTTAAATCAATAAAAGAAATTAAGTTAACTCTATCAAAACGAAACACAAAACTCCCGTTCCAGTCCGCAGAAGAAGAAAAATAGGGTTTTTTGTCATTTGCTCATTGCTCATCCATCGCAACCTAGCCAGCCTGTGTTTCCGTAGCTCCGTCTTCCATTGGTTTCTGCTAGACAAAACACATGCAACACACGCGTGCACCACATATACACACACCCATTACGTTCTCGACATAACGCCCCAAGCGCGGATTTTGTTATCAGTGTATCCAGCAAACAAGGTCTGGCCATCAGCACTCCATGCCAAACTTATGCACTCAGGCTCACGGCTCTTCTTTCCCTTCTCAACATATTCAGGCTTGAGCTCATCGACCTTGCTCTTCTTCTCCAAATCAAAAATGGTGATGCTGCTGGATGTAGCAGCGCAGAGCCAGTAGCGGTTGGGGGAGAATACGAGGGCGTGGATCTCGTCACCGGCCTGGAGAGAGTAAAGGTGCTTGGACTCGTTGAGATCCCAGAGCATGGTGGTGCCGTCCTTGCCACCGGAGGCGCAGAGGGATCCGTCGGGGGAGATGGTTACGGTGTTGATGTAGCCAGTGTGGCCGATGTGGTCAGTTTGGATGCGGCAGGAGGAAAGTTCCCAGACCTGATGTTTGCGATATTAGCAAATATATACCGGGAATTTGTAACTGTTCGCATTTTGTTTCCAAGACATCAAGAATTGTGTAAAGTTGTCCATCAGGGCAATTAGTGAAGGTTTGTCTCATCGCCTCTAAGGGCTCTGAAGTAGCAAATACGTAAATGCAAGACATCATTTGGGAATATAAAACTCGATAAAATAAAAGGGGGCCCCAAATTTGAGAAGTGTATGTAATATCGTACCTTGACGAGTTTGTCCCAGCCAGCGGAAACGATGACGGGGTTTTGAGGGTTGGGGCTGAAGCGGACGCAGGATACCCATTCGGTGTGTCCCTTGTCGGTGATGGTGAATTTGCAGTCACCCAGGGTGTTCCACAGCTTGATGGTCCGGTCGCGGGAGCCGGAGACGATCTGGCGGTTATCGGCAGAGAAAGAAACAGACAAGACATCGTTGGTGTGGCCAACGAAAGTTCGGGTGGTGTTGCCAGTAGCCAATTCCCATAGACGAAGGGTCTTATCCCACGAGGAAGAAAGGGCATAGGCGCCATCGGAGGAGATTACCTATTTGTATAAAAAAAAAAAAAAAGGCACAACAATCAGCCCATATAATTCCTCTTACATTCTCTCATAATCCTATATTTCCTAAGTTTCTATCATACACAATCGGAGACAATGTGAGAATGGCCATGGAGGCTTCGTTTAGGGTATCCGTATGCGGTGTCATCACGGGTCAAATTCCAGATGATCAGGGTCTTGTCGCGACTGGCGGACAGGAGCATATTTGGGCTAACATGAAATTTTGCCTGTTAGAATTGCACATGAACTCGAGTCTTAATTCGCCCCAATATATCAAAGGCTATATAGCTTACTTCTCCAGCGAAGTGGCCAGGGAGGTAACCCAGCCATTGTGGCCCTCGAGGGTCCCGCGGTGGACAAGCTGCTCAGCCATGGTGTGCAGGCTCTCGGTCGAAGTCTGAGAATGCCAAAAGAAATCCTCGTTGGGGGGAGTGGAAAGGAGGAGGAGGATGGATGGCGAGAGCAAAGCAATGTACAGGCTGTCGTTGAGCTGTGGTTCTTTCGTTCCTCAGAGCAAAATGGCGGTTCTGGCGCCCAAACAAGCCCTAAGCGCAATTTGGCTGCAGGCCCTTTTTTGTGTGTGCGCTGCAGCCCTAGCGGGGGCCTAAGCGAAGGGGAGGGAAGGGCGGTTGGTTGCCAAGAGTAGTCACGTGCGTTGGATGTTTACACCCCTTGCCCGCTCTGGAGAATTTTGGCACAAGGAATACCAGTAAGAAAAAGACAACGTTTTTAACTCCCTGGGTATAATAAGCGATAGGGAGAAGTTCCTGTACGTATACGGAGTATTATACATAATACGTAGTTTCAGAAATGGCCTAATTATATATATATCAAATCCAATTACCCTCCTCACTGCTTGGATGTATGCAGGTCAGGCATCCGCCCCAACCCGCCCCCACCCTGTGTCTTCTCGCCCTTCAAGCCCAATGCACTTCTCTCATGAACGTGTTCTCTCAGTCGCACGAGGATCTCAGAGTCCTTCCATCGCTGCGGAACAGGCCTGTATGCAGGTTTGAACGCGCCCACAGTCTGCGCCCATTCGCCGCTCTTTGCAGCGCCGCTTTTCCACGTCGTGGTAGGTGTATCCTTAGTTGGGATACTCGACCTTCTGGCAGCACTATTAGCTTTATCTGTCGCTAAGGGATCTTCCGCCTCCTGGGTTGCCCAATAATAAATATCCCAGTCATTCTCGTCTAGGAATTTGTCAAATTCCTCTAGCTGCCTGGCTGTCATGGTTGGAAGGTTTTTGGACGCGAAGGTTGATAGAAGAAGGTCCGACTCCAGGGTGCCTCGTTTGCGACTTTGATCTACTTTCTGTTAGCTTGCGTTGTACAGATTGTATTTTATATGTAATGTTCTTGAGGGATAGAGTGTTCAATTAGATACTATGCATGAGTAGTGAGACCCACACAACAACCTCGCGCGCATCGTCGTAACATCCTCCCCTTCGCGCTTCAATGGCTCAACCTTGAACGTAATACCTTCCATCTCCCCCACATCCAATTCGGGCTTCCTCCCCTCGCCCGTCTGTGCTGTCCTGCCCGTCATGTGCTCTGTATTCCCCGGCACCGCATCGCGCGGTTGATAGTTTGGATCCGTCGACGATAGCAGGTCAGGCGGCGCCGACTTCTCCCCAACTTTAGGAAAGTCATTGGTTTTTGTTGATGTCGTATTCGTCAGATGTGGGTTCGAGGATTTGGATCTCTGGATGTCGCGGTGCAATGGAGCCGTTGAGTGACCGCGATCATTCAGGCCATTGGCTCGGAAAGCTGTCGAGTTGAACGGTGCTGGGACAAATGGCGATGCAACCACCCTTGCACTAGAGGAGAGCAGGGTGCGAAAGAAAAGCTTTGGAGCTAAGGCTGCCATATTTTAAAATTGAATTGGAGATGGTTACTATACTCAAAATGACTTGTGCAGAGTCGAAGCAGGCTGGAGCGATCTTAAAAGTGCAATTACCGAGCCAAGGTTGACATCATCCCGAAAATCATGTTTGCTGTGTTTGCATCTCTCAACATCAAATCTCGAGGAGCCATCTTGATCAATTATTGTAGCTACGTATATCTGATAGGACACATGTCAACAGTCAAACAGATGCTTTTTTGCCTGTTCATGCCGCTAGATATGCCTTGCTTAATTTATAATGACCTTGTTTACCATTAGCATCACGGATCCGGGTAAACATTCGATAAGTGGTATCATAGGTTTCCTCTAGGGGTATCGAAGCAGTTATATTATATAGCCAAGCACAGAAAAAGAAACTTATTTGGTATTTCATAAAATAAGCATATAGGAAAAACAAGTTGCGAAAACGCTGCCAAAAAAAGCATATTTATATATATATATATATATATGTTCTCCATCATCCTTCATTGCAATTGTCATCGCACCTCCCCGGTTAAAGGACTCAGATGGGGACAAAATAGTGCAAAGGCAATAAGATAAATCGTCATGGTCTAGATAAGATGCTTCGACCTATTCGCGGGTAAACAAACAATGTCAGTCATAAGTTTTCGAATAAAATGATAGCCTTAAAAGACGTTATGAAATGGGTTAAGAGAGAGAGATTTTCTACCCATCCAAACAAGCGGAGAGTCCAAGCGAAATAAAAGAAAAAAGCTGACCTGAAATACGCCCTTAAATATACAACCTGCCATGCGCCAAGTCCAACAAGCATTCCCATAGTTCCAAAGGCAAACCATTTAACCCGCTCATTCGTGCTCTCATTGGTGTCTCTCAGCTTCTGCTCACGGGTCCTCATGTAGTCCATCTCCGTCACTATCTCACCAACCATCGCTTCAATACGGCGCAGATCAGCCTCAACGGGTTTCAACTTCTCCTGTGCCTGGATGGCGGACCAGTCTCGCGCGTCGGCGCCAATGTCAATGTCCAGTTCAATGGGGCGGAATAAATTGCCGGAGTCTTCCAGAAAGTTGAAAGGAATGTGTGTTAGATTTTTGGAATCCGCAGCATTCATGGATTGGGGAATGGGACGAGGTAGGGTTTACATACGCCGACCATTAACGAGGATGTTCTCGAAGCACACGTCAAATGCGGTATCTGCACCGGAGGTAAAGGCTTGTCGTTTCTCGCCAACAACGTCCTTGGGTCTGCCATAATCATTTCCCATTGAGTCCTTGATCTGTATCCACCCCGAGTACCAGCAAAATTTTTAGCCAGAATTCCGCTTAGACGATTGAAATGGACCGATGCTTCTCAGACAGACATTTTTCTCTCACGGAATCCGAGAAAACAAAGGTTCCAGCTCGAGCCAATTCCAATCACGATCACGGGAACGACAGTAGCAAAAGGGAAAAGAAACTCAAGCTCCTCCATTCCCCCAAAAATAAATAAATAAATAAAAACAAAAAAAAAAGGGGGGGGGGGGGGGGGGGGGGGGGGGGGAAGAAACCAAAACACGGTGCGCACAAACGTACATGCATATTGACAATCTGCCCGTCGCCCTTCTGCCCGCCCACAATCGCCGTGACAACAACTAGCTGATCTTTATTGACGAAGTTACGTATACACCGTTCATTTTTCCCATTTTGAGGGATTGCGTGGAGATCGAATTTCAACGCCGCGGAGAGTTGGGATATGCATAGGAGCAGGAAAAGGAGGAATGGTCGCTGAGGCCCTAAAAGGGGTGATGGACAGGTGCTGCCCATCTTTTCTTTTCTTCTTATTTAGCCCGTCCCCGTTTCCGTTGAGATGCGCAGGGACAGGAACACCAAGCAAGCTATAGGAGGTGAGATGCAGAAGGTAAGGGAAATGTCAATGAAAGGTGTTATGGTGTCCGCAGTCAATTGCAGGCAAAGCGGAGGTGCTGTTGAGGAATGCCACGATTAGTTAAACAGTTTAGGGTGTTCATAACGGAGTCACTCGGAGAAACGTTTTCGCGGGTGTCATGATTGGTTATCTCAACAGCAAGGGGTTCTTGGAGAGACGAAATGGTAAAATCCAGCCTTTGTCTATATAAAAAATATTTGATCGTGTCGCTCCTTTTCACCTTGCTACTCCTATTGTATCGCTAATATGTCTCATCTAGAATTAGAAAGAGTAGAGCACATTACGTGGCTTTAAAATCTCCCGTTTTCCTTGTTTTTACTTCGAACATTAACTAGTTACATGCGCTCCGTACCGTCTGATGGTCTAGAGATTGAGGATCAATTTATTCTGTACATTGTCGATGATTTACAGAATTAGAAGAAACAACGGAATGAAGTCATACTAATGCACACCACTTAACTTGTACAGGGTTTGCAGTCTGCCTGTGGAGGAAACATATTTCCCCTGCGAACCACCACGTGTATAATAAAGAGAAGAAAAGATCACGGGGGGTTAAAATAGGGACCGTATGTTATCGTATATTTTTACCACCTAACCAACTAAGAGAATTATACACAGCACTATTACACAATTGAGTAAAAGAAAAAAAGAAGAGCCGGGAGAACAAGCCACAGTTACAAGGAGTGCGGTAAAGTGCCATATTGAGAAAGGTCTAACCTGGATAGCAAACTGGGATAATTTCCAAATAGACAAGGAGAATAAATAATATGGATGATAAAGTTAAATGGGGAAAGGATAGAATTGTCAGGCTGATGAGTAAGAGTCCAATGCAGTTTCATAAAGAATTGAAAAAACAAGTACATGTTAGTCGCCAACAGGCCGACAGTAAGGGAAAGACAGAGATATCAGAATGAAAATCTCCAACATACCCAAAAAGGTGGTTGTGGAAAATGATGGGATGGCTAAAATGAGAAGATAGAACGCAGACACAGTGAGGTAGAAGAGTAGGTGCAGTATTAAGGAAATAGGTAATTAAGAAATAAAATCATCGCCCCAGATCGCAAGTACCTGGCTAGATGAGCAAGAAACAACCTCCTGAAAAAAAAAAAATAAATAAATAAATAAATAAAAGGTGTGCGGGAAATAGGACAAGGGCTGGGTATCCAAATATACAACGAAGGGAAGCTCACCAACATTACAGGGAATTGAAATGAGTCCAATAAAACCTCTAAGAGAAAAAGAAAAAGAAGGGAAAATTGATCAAAAAGGAAAACTTACACCGCCTGTCTCTTCCTCCGCGAAAAGATTTTGCCAATGGAGCCGCCGGTACGCTTCTCCCTATCAGCGCTTACGGATGATCGCGAAGAATGTATGCCTAGGGGCTCTGGAGGGCCGGTATTCTTTAGGAAGTCCGCTAAGTCTGCAGTCGAGGTTTGATTGGCACGAGTGTGATTTCTGGGTTCAACTAGTTGGGAACGTAGAAACCCATCTGTCGTGCCGTTTCGCTGGTGTTCAATACGAGCACTGTAAGCGGAATGTGGCGGAAAGTTACTATGCTGAGAGCTGGAGAGAAAGCCTTTGGGCCCAGTAGCTTCCGGAATCGGAGTGGTAGGACCGGCTGGGGAAGAAACAGTTGTGGTATTTGATCTATGAGATCGGAGAGAGGATCGAGATAGTTTAGTCGACGGGACTTTGTCAACAGACGTGGCGCGCATCAGGCGAGAACGCATCGAGGTCGTGCTCTTCAATTTAGCCTTATTCACTGCATTCGCATTAACGGAGAGTAGAGGAGGGGGTTGATCAAAATCAGGCGGTGGCGCAGCATTGCGTAGGAAGTCGGCCAAGCTCTCTTCTTCCTCTTTGTGTACTTTGAGGCCGCGGGACAGTAGGTCATCGTCAAAATCGTCATCGCTATCGAAATCAATGGCATATGGGTCTTTCACGCGTCGCTGCTTTCTTGCAGGCAGGCCACTTTCTCCTTGCTCAAATCCCCCGTTTGAAGCTGGCTGCCCATTATACGTCCGATTATTAATGCGGTTTGTTGATTCGAGTAAGCCCGTACGTGAGTTGAATGAAGAAGACACGGATTTCGGTAGGACAGATTCAGCATTCGCATTTGGTACTGAGCTTTGTTTTCCAGAATCACGATTTGCACGACTAATGCTCAGATATTGTAATTCATCGGAATCCATTGTTGTGCGGAAAGGTGCCACTGTTCTGGGGATACGGTGTGAACCATACTCCGGAGGTCCTTCCCGTATGAAATCGATGAGATCCGATGTGCCATCATCTTTTGGTGTAAGAGCAGACCTAGCTTCCAGTTTCGGGGTTGGACGTTTCGGTAATTCCTTAGTAAGGACCTTTTGCGAGCGAACTGATGTTGCCGATGGGGCACCGCCGCCAATCGCATGCCGCGTCCGGTTGACTGGCCCGTTGCTACCATTAGTCAAGCTTGTCGCGGGACGTGAATTATTCTTCGGAACTGTGGTGGCGTGTTCTGGACCTGTGGACCTGATGAAATCGGCAAAGTCTTTCAATGACTCTCTTTCTACTCTCGCATCCCGTGCTTGCGGTGGGCGGGGTTTATGCGATGTGGGTTGTGGATGGCTAGTATTCGCAACAGGAGACTGCGTATGTTTGGGTTGGACAGGAGAAATAGTGGAGGGCGTATGTATGCGCAATCCGTTTCTATTGGAGGAAGACACACTGGGTCTCCCACTTTCACACTGTGTCCCTTCTGGAGGACCGGTTGTTTTCAAAAACTCAGCCAATTCAGTTGTTTCAGTTCGTGTGGGAGCCCATCTGGGTGAATTGGGATCCTAAACAGAATATTAACATCAATTACTAACCGCGCATATTTAAATGTATAACCGGAGAGGAAAATGGGTAAACTTACCTCCATCTCTCTCATATTTCGAGGCGTCAGAGTATATCGTATAGTCTCATCACTCTGAATCAATTCGTCCAAGTTAGATGGGTCTGGAGCTGCTTCCACGAATTTGGATTGGGTTCCAACGTTTGTATCAGTAGAAGTGCGTATCGGAAGAGGAACCTTGGAATCGCCGTCACTAGCCTGCCTTCCTACGAGCCCCTTCAATTTATTAGAAACCTGTGACGTTGCAGATCCCGAAGTAATCGGCCGCTTATCTCGATGGCTGCCAATACTCACAGAACGACGCGGTTTAGAAGTCGAATCACGAGGGTTCGAGGGTGGCGGAGGACTGACACGCTGGACGGCAGCACGCTCGGATCCCACAGAAGCAGCGGAATTTGGTTGCGTATAGCGGGGCGTCGTGTTCTGCCGCGAATTACTCCGAGGGAGAGACTGTCTACTTCGGATACTAGCTGACCGACGAGCAGTATAAGAATAGGGATATTCTTGATCAGAGGCACCATTAGAGTTCTTCACAAATTCTTGATGTGGAGTGAGTCGAGATGGATGGGCGGCGGCTCTGCTTGTTTCGGCAACAAAGGAGGTCTCCACAATTGAGCCTTGAGAAGAGGCACTTGATTCTTGACAGGGTTCCACCTCGTATTGATACGAAGAAATAGACTTGAGATCAACGTTTCTTTGAAAATGTTGGCTATTGGCATTTACCCCTGAGGACTTGGAATTTCCATGTTGCTTTGTGGTTTCCAGTCCAATCGTCTGAGATGGTGAGATATTGTATTCTTCACTCCTTTGCGATGAAAGCTCAACTTTATGGGACTGTCCATCGAGAAACTGCGGACTTTGTAGACGAGACGGGTTTGCAGAACCATAGAATTCAGAATGGTCACTGTTATCGGGATCATCCTCAATATTATCACGATCCCGACGTTGCTTGCTGCGAGGAGGAATTTCAGGAGGATAAAATGCTTCCCCGAGGAGCCTGTCCGGGAGCTCATCATCCTCAATCATTGTTTCAAGGTGGTGCGGTTCATTTCTGGCAAGGCCAACGACTGGACCAATGACTGGTGAAAGCGCCAAACTAGAGAAAAATTTCGCGCTCCCACCTGCATGCTGTCCGCAAGGCGATGACGGCAAGGATTGTGAACGAGAATGAGGCCAGGATTCATTTATACCGTCTCGCAGCGTAGCAGAGTGTGAGGGTGAGCTAATAGATGTGGGTGAGACGATATCAGATCCCGAGAGGAAAAGGCTTCGAGGACGGAATGATCGTGCTTGGACAGCTATGGAGAGGTGGGTAGTAAATCCAGGGACCTCAATTTCGTCCACGTCATTTTCAGATTCTGGGATGGGTACATCAGCCGGATTAACCACTTCCTCCAGAGGGAGGGCCTTTTGGGAAGCTTCGCCAGCGGGTGGCTCTTCAATTGTCCCGATGCTACTTGCTCTGCTATTCCTTCTTAGCGGAACTAGACCCCGTCGTATCATCGACTCTCTCGAAAGCGTTCTAGAAAGTACAGGCGCTCTCACGTTCTTTCTCCATGTTCGCCAAAGCCGACCAAGGGTTGGATTCAGGGCCAGTTTCTCCATGTCCGTTTCCTCCACCACCAACATATCAGGTTCTATCGAATCCAAATGTTCGTCCCGTTCCCTGCTGGATCTCCCTGACGAAACTCGAGTAGCAGCTGTTTCGCCAGCGATTATCAATGAGTGTTCACCAAGATATTCCAAAATTGATGTTAGAAATATGGCAGCAGCTGGTGTAATGTGCCCAACGTAGTTGGAAAAACGTGCCCGTCCAAAATCTGTTTCATTCAACCCTTCTCGGTGTAGATGCTCATCTTCATCCTCTTCCTCCATATCACCCAATCGTGTATAAACCATGCACCGTAGGCGGGTAAGCTTCCATGATCTCTCGAGCTCGAAGTGACCCGCAGGCTCACGGCCTCCACGGAAATCGGACAGTTCCTCATCCTCTCCTCCACCCAT